GACAGAAAAATATTTTAATTTTATAAATAGAGTTAATAAAATGAGACATATCTTTTAAAATATATTTAAAAACATAAAAAAATTAATTAAAAAAATGAAATATATATCACCTTATTAATCTTACTTATAAAATTAAAAACATATGCTATTATAATATCAAATAATTTCCCAAAGGAAAATACAACATTGTTCACGGATGCAAACAAAGAAGCCGAAAGTTAAAAGAATCTAAATCAAGAAGGGATGGAAGTTCGGAGAAAAGGAGAACCAATTGGCCAATAGGGAAAGAAAGAATCTAACCCCTCCTATGACTTTATTTCCTTCTTTATGAACACGAAGGAACCTGAAAGGAAATGCATCTCAATATCTGGAAATGTCCATTGCTTAGCCTTGCTGCGTTTCAGTCATTTGGGGGCCGACAGCAGGCGTCCCACCCAACGTTGCAATTCTGAGTTCTGACCCTCTTGCCATGGGATGGAATGGAGGGAACGGAAGGGCGTGGACAGAATCATTCTCGGTGCGTGGATTGACTGGCTGCCAGCAGTGGGGCCATCCAGTAGGACCACTTGAATTATGCCACGATAGGAATGTGGTTGAATTTTTGTGAGAGGCCCATATCAATTCTCTGACGTGGCATAACTTCATTGGATAAGACGTGTGAAAGGGTGGGCAAGGGATGGGCACGCTTCCTTCGATGTGGGAATAGGTAATACAAAGTTGTTAGAATTGTTGGCCAAGTAGGCGGAGTGGGCCGCCTTCTTGACTGTTGAAAGCTTGGAACAAGAACATTCGCTTTATGATTCTATAAAACTCGCGATCAGGGGAACCCAAGCCTCTCTATTTTCGAGTACTTGTGAAAGAGTCCAAAGATTTGCCAAGGTTCCTTGTTGCATTCAAACGGAAATTTTTTTAATTTTTTGGCTTTGGGGGAAACTGAAGGTTGAAAACGCGAAATAAACAACAAATAAATCAATGAAACGACGACTTTTACATATGCTGAAATCTGCATAGACGACTTTCGTGTTCTGACAGCCTTTGAACTGTCGCCTTCCAACAAATTAGCTGCACCATACGGCGTATTTATTCTTTACTTTCTTCCTATCGAAGCTGTTGCTTGAACTGGCACAAGTTCGTATCAGAATAGGTTTTCAATATGGCATATGCTCAAGAATCAGGCAAGCAAATGACCTTTCCAATTAAAAGCCTAACACGTTCATTCCTCGTATGATTAAAAATGAAAAAAAAAAAAAAAAGCATAACAACCAAGCACTTTGTCCATGCCAAACACGTTTAACAATGGCTGGTTGCCACTCCTTGGATGGAGTTTGGCATTAACAGGATTCTTTTCTCAGCTGTACGTATTTGATCCAAAAAACCAAGAAAAAGAAAATTTTCAATTCAAAGAGACATCGAACATATCAGACTCAACCTATCAATGTAACCTGGTGTTGATATATCAGCCTTCCAGGGTTCTTGGCCTTTATAATTTGTAAATCTCTGGGTGCTTACTTGATCAACTATACTATCCTAAGCCTCCACTCTCGATTTGTCTTTATCTCGAGTTGTGCCAGTGGTTGTTTTTTCATCAATTCTAATAGAAAAAGATCCATCACGATTTTTTTTTTTTAAAATAACAAAAAAGTCTTCTATTAAAAAAATCCAAAATCTTTTATGGACAAATGATCGAACCAGTCACAAGATAAGATGACAACAATCCTAACTTATAGAAATAAGGATAACACCGTCCAGTCATTTATATGTATATCTCTTTATTTAAAGAATTTAGTTTGAATCATCTTTTATCAAATAAAAAAATAAAAATAATTATTCTTGCAAAAAATAAAGATAATTACTATGAACATTGACAACGAAAATTTTAAACTTTACATTGTTTTTAAAGGAATGAGTTGCGTCTTATAGATTGACATAAATATTTGAAGATAAGTGTAAATAATTATCTTGATCAATTTGTAGAGTTTAAAAATACTACTCAATTTACAAGATAATCATCCTTAGAAACAGTGTCATGTTCTAGGACTGAGATGCGAAATTTATTATCGTATTATAAATTTCTGATATATCTTCCCAAGCAGCACTAAGAATTGGCTCGAGCACTAATGTTGAATAGTCCCGAGAAGATGGCTTATTTTGGATCTATTGGATATAGTAATTAGTGGATTTGTATCATGTCTCATGTCAATCAGGAAATGAGATATAATACAATAATTAAAATATAAACAAGATATGAATTATTTAATATGTTAAATTTTAAATATAAACATGATATATTTATTTATGTGCTATAGACGATATTATATAATTAACATGTTTAATATTAATTTATTTAACACGATATGATTAACATGATTAGATATAACAAACATAACATTAATCCATTTATAATCATTGGTCAAAAAAATTATTTATAATCTATTTAAACCGAAAAATATTTTAATTAATATAATTTTAACATAAATAAAAATAAAATTGTAACTCCCTTACCCACATCCAAATTAAATAATAATATTAAAAATTGATTAAAAATAAATAAACAATTAAAATATAGTACAAATTACAACACAACTACTTATTCATCCGTATAAAAGTAAAACTTTATATTTTATTTTCAACAAAAATTTTATATTTTATCTATAACAAATTTTTAACAAAAGAACAAAAACAATCAAATCATAAATGTGTACATAACTCTATTTGTTTGTAGCACCAACAAATCTAAAAGAATAAGCTACAATCAGATTAATATTATTATTTATATTATAGTTATATTACTGATGTAAAAAAATAATTGTACATCAAATGTGTATTTTAGTTAAATATTTAAAGTAGCCTTTATATGGTTATATTAAATATGTAATTAGCTATCATAATAAACATTTTAAAATAATTTTTATATATTTATATTAAATTAAGATAAATATAAAAAATATTTTTAATGTGTTAAATGTATCAAATATGTTTAACTGTTAAATATATTAAACATGTACACGTTTGATATGATTAAACTAAAAGTGTTTCACATGTCTTATACATGTTAAACATATATTTATATGAAACAATTTAATTAAATGTATTTTTCATATTTTACATATGTTAAATATGTCAAGTACATATAAAACACAACTGATATCATATTAAAATTTATATGACATAACTAAATACAAAACATAATTTTTCAAATATGATATATGATTTTTTGTTATTTTTATGTTGTGTCTCGCTATCGTATTCAAAAGTAAAAGTGTAATCGATCAAGTTCTAGTTAATACAATGTTAAACTCGAGCTCAAGTTCGATTCTAAAGCTCGAAATTTGGCTTGAATTTGATCGAGTTTTTTTTAGCTTGAGCTTGATTTGAGATAAAAATCGAATTACTCGAGCTTGCTCGATTAGGCTTGATTAACGTGTAAAAATAAATTCGATTCTTATATTCGATAAAAACTTGATTGTTTATTCTTGAGTTCAAACTCGAGTTTGAAATATTTTATCAATTAAAATAATTAAAATATAAAAGTTCAATTAAACTCGTGAGTTATTAGAGCCAAGAATAAAAATGCTCCAATTTGACTCAATCGATAAGTTGATTATTCGAATTCGAACTCAACTCGATAATAAATGAGTCATATTCAAATAATTTATGAATACTAATATATCATTTACATTTTTGTTCAAAAGTTCCCATGTCTTAGTCCTTGTACTTTCCTTTAATTCTTGGATCTGCTACCTTACAAATCCTCCCTTCATTTGCGAGCTCCTCACGCAGCCAATGAGATGTCGGTCAGTTTCAATTGTTGAACTTCCAGAAGTAATACCACAAGCCAAAACTACATATATCACTGGCCATAGTAGTAGTTGTAATTGGTCCTAACGAGACCAATCCAGGGGCCATGTATCCTAGTGTGCTCACTAGCCTGGTTACCACAGGGTCATGAGCATCCCAGAAAAATTTAGCAAGGCCGAAGTCTGCTAACCTTCCAGGAATAATAGAGCCCAATAATATGTTGTTGGGCTTGATATCACAGTGGAGCACCAATTGGTGCCACCTTTCATGCAAATAATTCAACCTTTGGACCCGTCTTCATCTTTTCTAGCTTAAGTGATTTCTTGATTACTGAGATCTAGCAGGGCAGAAATTTTTTGATCTAAATGGCTTCTTACCATGTTATGGAAGAATATATGAAAAAGTTCATGTAATATATAGTACAAGTAGCTATGTCTTTTTGTAACTAAGAAGAATTATTTATTTGGTTAGTTATTTTATTTTATTACTTTTTAAATAAAAATAAAAAATAAATAACAATTTTGAAGGATTATAGATAAAATATATAATTATTTTAAATAAAAATACATAATTCCTTTTTTATATACTAATTATTTTATAAATTGATGTTAGATGTTTAAGATATTTTAAATGAATTTTGACCTTATATTTTACTTTTTATTTTCTAATAATAGTTTTTATAAAAGAGTAATAAATTATAAAACTCAACCTTTTTTCTTGAAACTAAGTTACAAAATCAACTCAACAAAGCCTTAGAAATTGAAAGAACGGTTTTTTTTTTAATTATTATTATAATGAAAAGTTGTATGTATGCTTAATGTCACTGGAGTCAGCAATTTGCAAGTTCAACGTCCTTCATGATGCCATTGTATTTTTTTTTTCTTGTACATTTTGCTGGAAGATAATTTTTTTTTTTAGGTTTTTAATAAAAAATCATAATTTAAAAATAAAAAATTTCAAATATTAAAATTTAAATATAAACTTTTTGAATATTGCCCTTGCATGAATTATCTAACTTAAGCTCGGATATATTATGGTTTTGACAAAAGAAGGGAAAAGCCAAATGTTTTTGGATGACACAATTATCTAATTATCTCCATTTTGGATTATTTTCCTTGATTTTTTTCTGAATGTAGAAATTGTTGGGGGCGTAAAACGTGCATGGAGTGGAGAGACGACACTCCAAGAAGCCATTGCCACCACTCATTTGAATCGACCAAAGCAAAGCAAAGCAAAGCACGCAGCCAAATCAAATCCATTGACGCACCTCCCTTTCCACACCCAAAACCAAAGACGTACGCCAACAACCCAAAACTAAAGATGCACACTCCTCCACTCTTCTTCCTCCTCCACCTACTTCCTTTTCTCTTCCAAATTCCATGGCCAATAATTCACCTGAATAACACTCTTCATTTTCTCTTCTCTCTCTCTTTTCCCAACTTTACCCCCTTTGCTTATACTTTTAAGACATGACTCCCTTTTCTTGTTTACCTTCTGCCAGAAACATCACGCGACATCCTCATTTACATGTTCCTAAATACCGTTACAATGGAACTCAACTACCCAAGAAAGAGAATCTTATATTCAGGCATTTCCAAGTTCCAACCAGGCCTTATCTTCCTATCTTGAGCTTAACGAACTCCAAACTGAATCAACCTTTTGCAAGTATATCTTCTTTTGCAGAGGCAGATGGTGAGAAAGGGCAAAATGATCAAGGAATCAGAATTGAAACGCATCAAGAAGATGCTAAAACCAATGAAGATGACCTGCCTGGAATGGCTGAAGCCTTTCATGTATCTTCAAGAACTGCTTCTGCTATTGCTATATTCATAGCTTTTGCAGCTTTGAGTCTTCCATTTTTTATGACATCTTTGGGTCAAGGGCTTAGCTTAAAGACCAAGTTTTTATCATATGCAACACTTTTACTTGGATTTTACATGGCTTGGAATATTGGAGCCAATGATGTGGCTAATGCCATGGGAACTTCAGTGGGATCAGGTGCATTGACCTTGCGCCAAGCTGTGTTGACGGCAGCGTTTTTGGAGTTCTCTGGAGCATTGTTGATGGGAACTCATGTGACCAGTACAATGCAGAAAGGAATTCTTGTTGCTAGCGTGTTTCAAGGGAAGGATAGTCTGCTTTTTGCTGGATTGCTCTCTTCTCTCGCAGCCGCTGGTACTTGGTTGCAGGTGCTTTTCTTGAGCTTCATCTGTTCCAAATTTCGTACTTTTGATAGAAAGTTGATCTGCTTTAAATTTTTAGTTTTCTTGATTAATCTAAATTGCTTGAGATTCAATTACTGAAGAGCATGTTCTGATTATGACCTTAGTTCTCTGCTTTTGAAGACATATCAATATGGCAAGATCATAAACAAATTGTTAGCCTTATTGAAACAAAATTGATGGATCTGGCTAAGTTCTTGATTTTATTGCCTCTCTCTGCCCATGGCAATGTACTTCAACTATTTAGTGGTAAAACAATTCAAAAAACTTTAAATTCCTACACTAGCGATGCCACAGTTGGCAATCCGTGCAATTTAGTGTTGTTAAGGAAAATTGTTTCCAAATTACACTTGTTTTCCTCCTACCTTATGCTTTCTACTCAGTATGCTTATGATAAAAAACTGAGCGAATTAAAAACTTTGATGATTACATTTTGGATTTATATTTGATGCATTACCAGTGTATCTATTCAAAGCACTTTTGCAGTATCTTTCTAGTTTTCTTGTTTATTCTGATCCCTGCGATTGCTATCATCAACAAAGCTATTAGATTCTTATAATCCAAGTTAGATTGGGTTGTTGTTTTGCGGCCATCCTTGTGTAACAATCCAACAACTATTGTAAAAGGGCTCAGGGTTTATAACAGTATCAAGACAGTTGGCATAAGTATTTTTACATCGGATCTTCAATGTACACATAAAGAAGCCAGAGCAGAGTTTGTATGCGTTGACATTGTAAATATCGATATCGATTGTAGCTTTCATTGGCTTGGAGTCCAATTAATGTCAACACATTTGTACTTACCAACAATCTTAGGGAGAATATACTGAGGAACTATTCTTTAAAAACCATTTTGATAGGATAATTTATAAAATAATGGAAGACAAAGTGTGTAACGATCCAAGAATAGGATTTGTCTGAAGCCATGGAATTTGTCTGCATACGTATGTGTTTCACTGGTCTTCCAGGTGAGTATTAAGCATCTTCCATGTTAGGAAAATGGGGTCAAGTCCCATGTAAGTGGTTTTGGACCAAGTAAAGGTCATGGGCCTTGATCTTTTATTTTACACAGAGCCCTAGCTACTTAATAAAAAAAAGATGGGGTTGTTTTAGGTGTGTGTCGAAAACCAAGCAGAGAAAGAAGAAAAGCCAGGAAAAGTAGAGAGAGAAAAAGGAGAAGGGAGAGTTGGTTGAACGGAAGCCGATCCGTGGTCCGATTGAGTTAGAACCTTGTCAGGAGGTTTATGATTCAGAGTTCTACATTCTGAACGGTGAAGATCGGGTTTGAAGCTCTCTAGGAACAAATCCAGGGTATATTTGTTGAGTCACTTATTTGGTGAGATTTCTCCAATTGTTTCTCTAGTTGTTGATTAGCTCTAATTTTAGCTAGAGAAGAACTTTGTATAACTATTATTTGATAATGAAGATTTTTCTGGTGGCCCGTGGTTTTTTCTCTCTACACTAGAGGGTTTTCCACGTAAATCTTGGTGTGCTTTATTTTTCCTACGTATTTGATTATTGATTGTTGTCTATTGCTTATGTATTGTTGTGATTATTGCTTCAGGCGCAACAAGTGGTATCAGAGCGAGGGTTATTTTGAGACATCGATACAGAAGCAACCCATGATAGAAGTAAATTCTGTTTGAGATCATGGAGGGTGATACATGTTCCATGATAAAATTGACAGCATCGAATTATTCAATTTGAAAGCCTATGATAGAGGATCATCTATACTGCAAAGATTTGTATGAGCCAGTATTGAGTGATTCGGCTAAACCAGCAGATATGAAAGATGAAAGCTGGAAGAAGCTAGGTAGAAAAACGTTGGCTACAATCAAAAAATGGGTTGATATCAGCGTGTTCCATCATGTAGCGCAAGAGTCAGATGCTCACATTGTTTGAAAAAAATTGGCAGCATTGTATGAGAGAAAAACATGTATGAATAAAGTTATGCTTGTTAAAAAGATTGCAACTTTACAGTACAGGGATGGACGATTTGTTACAGAGCACTTGAGTGATTTTCAAGATATATTTAATCGGATGACTACTATGGAGCTTAAGATGGATGATGAAATAAAGGCGTTATTTCTTTTGGTTTATTACCAGACAGCTGAAATACTCTAGTTGTGACTGTTCTTAATTCAGCTCCTGATTATAAGGTGACATTAGAGATGGTAAAGGACAGTATGCTTAATGAAGAAGCAAGGCGAAAAGATGTAGACCTTGGGAATCAAGCTCTAGTCACAGAGAACAGGGGTAGAAACATCGACAGAAGTCAGGACTCAAAAGGCCGTGGTAAGTTTAAACATAGATCCAAGTCTAGAGGTAAAGTGAAGTGTTTCCATTGTGGTAAGGCGGGTCATATAAAACGAAACTGTAAAATCTTGAAGCAAGAACGAAAATATGAGAAAGGTAAGAGTTCAGATGATAGCAATGTTGCAGCAGTGAATTCAGATAGTGATTCAATTATTTTGATTTGTACACATGGTGATTATAATCATGTTAGTGATCTCGATATTGAGTGGATAGTTGACACAGGAGCGGCATATCATTGTGTTCCTAAGAGAGAGTTGTTTACAACTTACAAAGTAGAAGACTATGGTTGTACCAAGATGGGAAACAAGAGTGTATCACAGATTGTTGGGATTGATGATATTGTTGTACAAACTAGTATAGACTGCATGTTGACTTTGAGGGATGTTGACACATTCCAGATATGAGAATGAACTTGCTTGTTATTAATGTCCTTGATAAGGAGGGATATGAAAACCGATAAAAGAATGGACAGTGAAAGCTTCTCAAAGAATCTATGATAGTTGCAAGGGGAAAACTATGCTGCACAATGTATAAGACATTGATGCAATTGAACGATAACCAGGTAAATACCGTTGAAAATAATGCTTCAGCAAACTTGTGGCATAGGAGGCTGGCACACATGAGTGAAAAAGGGTTACAGGTTTTGGCAAGACAGTCTCTCATTCCATTGACCAAAGGTATGTCTCTCGATTCATGTGATTATTGTTTGTTTGGTAAGCATCATAGAGTTTCTTTTCGTAAAAGTTCTCAGAGAAAAGAAAATAGATTGGAATTAATTTATTCTGACGTATGTGGTCCCGTTGAGGTTGAGTCATTAGGTGGTAGCAGATATTTTGTTACTTTTATTAATGATGCTTCACGTAAGACTTGGGTGTATATGTTGAAATACAAAAGTCAGGTACTGGAGTATTTTCAAAAATTTCATACCATGATTGAAAGGATGACAGGGTTACCCTTGAAGTGTATTCGGACTGATAATGGTGGGGAATACACATCTAAAGGCTTTGAAGAGTAGTGCTCAAAGCATGAGATCAGGCATGAGAGGACAGAACCTGGAACACCACAGCATAATGGTATAGATGAAAGAATGAATCGCACTATTATGGAAAAAGTCAGATGTATGTTGAGGATGATAAAATTACCAAAGCCATTCTGGGGTGAAGCAGTCAACACAGCTTGTTATTTACTTAACAGGTCATCATCAGTTCATTTGGGCTTTGACATTCCAGAAAGAGTGTGGACAGGGAAAGATACTTCATACTTTCACTTGAAAGGTTTTGGGTGTAAAGCATTCATGCATGTGCCGAAAGAGCAGAGATCAAAGCTTGACAGTAAAGCTACACAGTGTGTGTTTGTAGGATATGGTGATGAGAAATTTGGCTACAGGGTATGGGATCCAGTAAAGAGAAAGACAGTCAGAAGCAAGGATGTGGTCTTTCATGAAAAAGAAATCATAGCAGACTTTGAGAAAAATGAGAAGACTACACAGGTTACTGTTGAGTGTGATGTTTCAACACCGATAGAGATTTCACAGGAAAGAGCCACAAATGGTGAAAATGAGCCAGAAACATAACTTGGGGATATGAATGAGTCAGCTACAATTGGTGATGAGCCAGATGCTATTAGTTTTGAACAGGGGGAGCAATTCTCTCTACCTGAGAGTGTTGAGCAGAAGAAGCTACCTTCGGCATCAAGTGATGCAGAGTCTCAGCCCAGGAGATCTATTAGAGAGCGCAGGCCATCTACCAGGTATCCAAGTTCATATTTTATTTTAGTTACCAGTGAAGGGGAGCCAGAAAGCTTCCAAGATGTGCAGGCTACTCCGAATAGAGAGCACTGGTTAAAAGCAATGAAAGAAGAGATGGAATCATTGCGAAAGAATGGTACTTATGATCTTGTTAAACTTCCCAGGAAAAAGCTTGAACTTTGCAGTAACTTGGTCGGAATGAGTTCCCTGGCCAAGGTAAGTTCCAAATGAAACTGCTATGGTGATGAATCTCCTCCTAATGGGGCTGGAGGGAGAGATTGTTAGGAAAATGGGATCCAGTCCCATGTAAGTGGTTTTGGACCAAGTAAAGGCCATGGTTCTTGATCTTTTATTTTACACAGAGCCCTAGCTACTTAATAAAAAAAAGATGGGGTTGTTTTAGGTGTGTGTCGAAAACCAAGCAGAGAAAGAAGAAAAGCCAGGAAAAAACAGAGAGAGAAAAAAGAGAAGGGAGAGTTGGTTGAACGGAAGTCGATCCGTGGTCCGATTGAGTTAGAACCTTGTCAGGAGGTTTATGATTCAGAGTTCTACATTCTGAACGGTGAAGATCGGGTTTGAAGCTTTCTAGGAACAAATCCAAGGTGTATTTGTTGAGTCACTTATTTGGTGAGATTTCTCCGATTGTTTTTTTAGTTGTTGATTAGCTTTAGTTTTAGCTAGAGAAAAACTTTGTATAACTATTATTTGATAGTGAAGATTTTTCTGATAGCCCGTGATTTTTTCTCTCTACACTGGAGGGTTTTTCACGTAAATCTTGGTGTGCTTTATTTTTCTTGCGTATTTGATTATTGATTGTTGTCTATTGCTTATGTATTGTTGTGATTATTACTTCAGGCGCAACATTCCAAGCTTATCATCTCGATTATTTGAGACGACTCGGGACTAAAGGTTTGCTGCTCCTACTCTTAAGCCCCTTTTCTCTTTTCTCACGAGAATGAGTAGTGCACAGATAGTAAAATATGAGGGTACATAAACTTCTCAAGAAAAAATGCAAGACTGATACGCTTCAAAATTATAAGGAAATTAAGACAATGTGGATAATCATCCGCTTGCTTGTTTAATAGTTGTTCTTGCAAATGCAACAGATTCAAGAATCCTGCAGCAACTCAATCAATCATCTTTGTGTGTTTAACATTCTTAATTTCAAAATGTACAAAAAAAAAAAAATCAAGAATTTTGGTTGAGGCAAGAAAATGAAGTTTTCAGCAATCACAAGAACTCTGGATTAAATGAAACTATACTTGTAGCTACACCTGTCCTGGCATGCAACCATTAACTATATTATTTCTCTTTTGTTTAAGGCCTGACTTTGAAAGCAGTTGCTCCCGTAACATTTGTAGGCTAGTGCATTCTCCACTTTTATCTTCTGGTCATTCTTTATGTATTACTTATGTGTTACCCAGGTTGCATCATATTATGGTTGGCCAGTTTCCACCACGCACTGTATAGTAGGATCAATGGTTGGATTTGGCCTGGTTTATGGGGGAGCTGGTGCTGTTTTCTGGAGCTCATTGGCAAGGGTAGCTTCATCGTGGGTTATCTCACCCATAATGGGAGCAATGGTGTCATTTCTAGTCTACAAATGCAACCGCAGAGTATGTTCTTTCTCTTTAGAATATTGGCCAGCCTAGCTTCCTGTTTACTGTTTACAAGGGAATTTTCCTGTTTCTGGGGTAAAATTTGCCAAAAACTTATATTGCTTCAAGAGGAGGCTTGAATTTCATTAAGTTGTAGAACAAAAGAAAATCCGTGTTCAATTGTAAGTGGTGGGTTTAACTGTTTATATTACTTAATATGCAATATGTGAAAAACACCCATCGGGTAACTTCTTTTCCATCATTGAAGTTCTTGTTCAGTTGTTCTTACAACGTTTCTTCTTGTTTTCCCATAGTTTGTTTACAGTGCTCATAATCCTGGACAAGCGGCAGCTGCGGCAGCACCAGTTGCAGTTTTTCTGGGTGTAACTGGGATTTCTTTTGCAGCCTTTCCATTAAGTAGGAGCTTTCCAATGGTGATTGCCCAGGCTCTAGGCTGTGGAGCAGCTGGGGCGCTCATAGTTTTCGAAATTATCAAAAAACAGCTTGGTCATCTCCTTGTCAAATCCACTTCACCAGATTCAGAGCCACAAGAGAATAATACTCAGAATAAAAATCTGGGGCTTCTCTCAGATGTTGCAGGGCCTAGAGGCACCCAACTGGAAATAGTTTATGGGGTCTTTGGATACATGCAGGTATTGTCAGCTTGCTTCATGTCATTTGCCCATGGTGGAAATGATGTCTCCAATGCGATAGGTCCTCTAGCTGCTGCATTATCAATTCTTCAAGGAGGTGCCAGTGGAACCGAGATCGTTATCCCGAATGATGTTCTCGCATGGGGAGGATTTGGAATTGTAGCAGGGCTGACGATATGGGGGTATAGAGTGATAGCAACAATTGGGAAGAAGATAACAGAACTCACGCCAACTAGAGGATTTGCAGCTGAGTTTGCTGCAGCTTCTGTCGTTCTCTTTGCGTCAAAGCTGGGATTGCCTATCTCAGCAACCCACACTTTAGTGGGAGCAGTTATGGGAGTTGGTTTTGCGAGGGGACTAAATAGTGTTCGTGCAGAGACGGTGCAGGAGATTGTGACATCCTGGGCTGTGACAATTCCAGTTGGTGCTTCTCTTGCAATTGTCTACACGTGGATCTTAACCAAGCTTTTGTCATATATTTTATGATAATTATTCAACAAATTTTAAACAGCTTGATGTATGTTATTAATTAGAGTCAACTCATTTTTTTCAAACTAATTTGTGGAAGTGTTATGCCTCCTTGAGTTGATGTGATTTCCTTTCAACTGGAAATCACTAAATATTTTGGATATGGGCTGAGCCTTTTTGTTTCCTGTACGAGATGTTGGGAGGAATATTTGTTGAAAACATTAGAAAGGAAGATATGCATATTGTGTTTTGCCATGTCTAATATAGTTTGCTTTTCTAAATAAATTGATAGTTCAAGTAAGAAAGTGATCAAGTTATTAGCTCAGCTGTAGTGCTCCTATCTTGCAAGAAAGCAAGTTGTACAAGAACTACAGAGAGCCAAAGCATTAATTTAGGTAATGTAAATGCAACCGATGATCAAATTTAAGGACGACTAGAAAAGCATTCACTCGACGAGAAAGTTTTCCCAATAATCTAATCAAGCGCATAAAATTATGCCAAATCATGGCATGAAAGTAGCTGACTGATATCTCAAGGATAAATCTATGGGTAGATGGTAGAAGAATGACAATGAAAAATATTGAAACAGCATGTTTCTAGAAAGGGTCCTCTAATACAAAACAAGTACAACACAGAAATGAAAACTGAATATTTTCAAGTTATTCTAGTTAATATACTTATCGTAGAAACATCTCAAGAAACTGACAGGCATATTAAGCAAGTCACTCTTTTGCATGATCACATACCTAACAGGAACGGTAATGGAGAAATTTGTTGTACAGAAGTTAAACGTTCCCTCCTTGATTCCTGCAACAATATTCTTGTCCTTGGGAGAGGTGGTATAAAAGGCTTCTTTTACACTTCCACCTTTTAGCAGCCAATATTTTGACTCTCTCATTTGAAACTTTTAGATAACATAGAATTCTTTTGCAGAATCCACTTACATCCCAAGTGATCTCGATACCTGCACCAACCAAATGAAACTCTTTGTTTCAATCATCTCTATCGGCGAACAGATGATCTTGATCTTGGTCTTCTTGCCCTGCAAAAGAAGTTTGTAAATTAAACAAACTAGAAAACCTAGAAAGTTGAAGATTCAGATCACTGATCCTTTCACCTGAGTTGCATGCTGTTTTGATGATGGTTGTGATTGTCACAAAAACACTTAATCTAATTCCACCGAATGCATGGTAACATACCTGATAGTCTCAAAAGAAGCGTAGGGAGAATGCCTGCGCTGAGAATGCTTGCTATGTGGTGACCGCGAAACTTGTCTAGAAATGAAAACATACATCATATTGATTTGGTAAGTTAAACATATATAACTTAAGAGAAATGCTCAGCCTTGTGCAGAGTCAAATTTGATAAAAACCAGCCTGTTACATGATCATTATCTTTTGGAGATAATGAAATGGAAACCGAACACCTTCAAGCAATAACTAAGAAAGTGCATATAACCAAACCCTTAGAAAAGGCAAAAAAGAAAGTGACAGCAGGCTCTTCTTATTGAATAAATCATATAGAACAACCTGATCTTTGTAACATTCAATACATAGCACCATTATTAATGTCGTCCAAATTTCCATATAATTTGCAATAGGAGAAAATGCAAACTGAAGTCAGATGGGACAAAAAAGAAAATCAAGAATCGTGTAGCCATAAAAGTAGTTCACATAACATATAAACAAATTAATATAGTCAGGATAACATATGAAGAAAAGATTAACATCTCCATAGTCACCACCAGAATACAACAATCATATCAGCAATTTGTCTTACATTAACAGTCAAATTTGCAGATTATATATCATTGTTCACTTATAAACAAAAAGTATAAATGAAGCAATATGTGACAAAAGAGACAGAAAAAAGAGAAGCTGCCAGCGAGGAGATGTGGCCATATATAGCATAAACAAGCATAGTATATGCCAAAAAAAAAAGAGACAATTAACAGAGTAAAATTAGACAGATGAAATATTTAAGAGCACAACATACAAAGATCAACAAACATGAGAATTTTTTTTCCCCTCAAACACACACATACACACTTGACACACAAATGACAGCAGTAACAAATAATATAGCCAAATATTTATTATGTTTATAGTGTGGCTTCCATAGACAATTTAGTCAACAGATTATATTATATCTGCTTGACAATTGAATAAGGTGAAAAATACCCAACCAAGAATAAAGCCAGTAACCACCCAACCATCTATTGAGTCAGCAAACACGTGTGATTTGACAACACAGCAATAACCAAACTTTGAACTAACAAATTAGCCTGGTGGAAACCATCCACTAAAACCACAAAAGAACTTGTAGAAAGAAAAGGTAATAATCAGAAGTCTAATTCAAAAAGAAACTGAATATGAACAAAGTGCTTTATGGAGCAATAAACACGCTATGAAAAGTTAAAGTACATTGTCGAGTACTGGGTAGTAATTGAAACAGGTCAACTTTGTTTCTTTAATTTAAGTTCCTTTTAATTATCATGACAGTATCTCCATATGACCTATCAACCAATTTTCCAAAAGTTTAGGATTGCAGGGAAAAACATCCTTAGAATGGAACAGACCTAACCTGCCAAGGGCTCAGGCTGCATAAAAAGAATACGCAAAACATGAATGAAAGTGACCAAGTACTGATACAGTTACCTTCTTCTAGACCTGACAGGTGAAGGTGATGAGTGCAGTTTTCTTGAGTGCAACTTCCTATTGTACACAACAGAAAATTAGAAGCTACATAGCTCAATCAAAAGACAACAGGAATAAATAATCATTAGATCTCAAAGATGAACCTCTTAGAACCATCTGATGCTTCATCACTTGAGTCATTAGAATGATTGCCGGAGTTATCCTTGCTGTTTCTGCCTCTACTGCTAATGGACGAGGAGCTTCTTCTCTTCTGCCTGCTTGAGTCACTTCCACGTTTATGTCTTGATCTATCTTCTTCTTTTGTCCGTTCTCTTTTTCTGCCAACATCTTCTTTGGCACTAGCTCTATGAGGTCTCTCCACATCTTTCTTGCCATCCTTGGCATCAAGATAATTGGATTGCTTTCTTGAATCAGATTCCTTGGCTTTTTCCCCATATTTAGACTCTTCTACACTCTCCTTTGAGCCATTTCGATCTTCAATCTTTTGCTTTCTAAGCCTCTCATCCTCTCTCACATGATTCTCATCTCCCTTCTCATCTTCCCTGCTCTTACTGACCTCTAACACCCTACCACTACCAAGGTCTTTCCCAAAAGAACTCTTTCTACTTTCATGTCGATCATTCTTATCTGATTTTACTCTTGTTTCCCTACCTTGAGATTCAGATTTTGTTGATTTTCTACCAGCATCTTTGTCAGGCAGCTCAGAATCAGATTTCTTTATCACCCATTCCCCTAAAGTATAATTCATCCCAGAACCATTATTTCCATCTTGCAGTTTTCCACTATTAAAGTTGATTTCATCTTCAGAAACCACCTTGGAAAAAAATAACTTTTCATGGTTCCTATCTGCACTGTTATTAGCAGGGGTGTCTCTATTGTTTTTTGACCTCATATCACTTCCAAAATTCTTTTCAACCCCCCTGTGTTCCTCAAGTACCATCTGTGAATTGCCATTCTCTGATGCATCATTGTCTTGTGAAAGCTTCTTAATGCTGGACTGCGCAACAGCAGCATTACTCCTTGAATCTGGCATCCTGGAACTTTGAATTTTACCATCTTCATCTTCATCCTCATCCTCCTCATCATCAGAGGCATAATTTGCAAGGCCCAGCACATTGCCAGGGGAGCTTGAAGTAGATTTTTCTCTAGCACATGCAGTGTCTGGCTCCTTTGCTTTACCTGGAACTAGTAGCCTTGCAGAAGCCTTAGGAGTTGAGACAGGAAAAGAAGATGGCAATACTTTGTGATTTGAAGCAAAAGTGTTGTGATCAACTGCAGTTCAGCAGTTGTAAAAAAATGGTTAAATTAAAATAAAAGATAGCATCACAAACAAAATATCAAAGACGAAGTTTGCAGACTCCAGTGTTCGCAAAAGAAATATAGTGAAAAAATATTCAGATGCCAGCATTTACTTACCTTCAACTGTTGAGTCATCTTCGTTTACAACTTTGGTTGCAATTTCATCAAACAACTCATCTGTGACCTGTTCAAAGGCGAGAAAACTACATCTACCACCAAAAAGAAAACATAAAGATAAACAACCATAAGTGTTTAAACAGCTTCAACCTTTAAAAGGACTTCAGTTAGCACCCATTTTATTTCCTGGTTAATAGCTGCAGTTCTAGCTGCTTCAACATAATCCTACACAGAAAGAAAATGTAGGTCATGTCTCAAGGACATCATATCATAATGAGAAAACTCATCTAAGGCACACTGAGATATCAACAAGTCAAAGGCAGAAACAATAAAACCTCATCATCATCCTCTTCTTCACTTGACCAAGAAGAATCAATACTTTTGCTATCTGCTTGATCACGTTTAGCCAAGGATTTATCAACAGCTTCATCATCAATGGATTGTGTTTCCTCTTTAGGATGTTCTAGAGAAGACTTAGCTTTAGTGGCTTTGTTCCTTGATATTTCTTCTTTAAGCCAATTAGGCACCGGACCCTGGATGATGAGAAAAACTCAACAATAACATCATGAAAGTTTTCACTTTAACCAGCATAAAGAATTAATACCTTTTTGGGTCGTTCAGAAATGGTTCCATATGTATCACCAGGAAAGGCTGCAGCAGTATGAAGTTGAGCTCCTGGACCAAGGCCAAATGGAGCACTGGCTGATGGAACGGGTGGCTGAAAGCTTGGCCCAGGAAACCTTGGAAATGAAGGTGCTGTGTGTCCAGAAACAGGGGAAGGCACTGACAATGGATCACGCTGAAAAACAAATTTTATATTAGCATACTAAAACCTGGGGAATAAATCAAAGACAACTGACAAGGCTCGAGGCAAGATCTGTGCTCCGGATGGAAGAACTGGGGTTACAGGAGGATAAACTGCACAAGGTGCTACCGGAGGAGTCCAAGAGTTAATTGAAGATGCAGCGGCAATGGGATTAATGCCTCTCACAGTTACCATTGATTCATGATGAGCAGCATAATCAGACGGCATCTGTGGGTGATGATCATTACTAAACCTAGATGCAAAAACTAAAGGTTGATCACTAAGACCACCTGCTGAATCTGCTGCCTGACTGCCATACACAAAAGATTGCTCACTGAGCACTGATCTACCATTATCAGGCAGAGATTCCATATGATATGCTGCCTCTTGAGCTGTTGAGATGGGCAAGGGCAATGGCTTATATGACTGCTGCTTTTGATTTGCAGAATTTTCCTTCCCTGGCATTTAAAAGAGAAGTAACAAAGCAAATAAAACAAATTCAGACATCCCTAGCAGCCCTTTGGCTGTCATTCACATGAAAAGCTAAATTTCTGCACTTCTCCTACATACTCTATAGAAGATATTTGTCGACAGCAAGAGTAGCTTAATGGAGAAAAAATCTTCAGTTAAATCTTTTCACCAAAAAGACAAGAACTTAAACTTTAGTATTATCATAACTCAGTCCTAAAAACATTACAAGACTGTATTGGTCACCAGTATGCAGTTAAAATATCTCATAAGTGGTGCGCTTTCCAGAAGTGAGAATCCCGATAACCTGCCAAAGAACAATTTCAATTCAATGTTTTTTTACTTTTGATGTATTCTGAGAATACAACACAGGAAAGTCTCTGATGGTGTGTTTGGATGGAAGGGGAGTATATAACAGTAGAGTGAAAGCCAGCAAAAGGTTTGTAAATTTTTTTAACAGAGAGAAGGGAGTTTTGGAAATGAATTAAATCCCTCCAACCCCTTTAAATCCTCATATTTAAAATTCCATCAAATCAGGAGATTTTAAAAGAATAGTATTTTTTACCTAATGCTTTTAGGCTTTTACACTCAAATATTTATTTTAGAAATGATCTCGTGCTGGAAAGGATACTGGTAATATTAATTGCATGTGAGATTCCACTACCCTGTTCTCTACTGTCCTCACATTACCACTCAATTACTTTACCTCCTTTTACCTTCTAACATTTAATCATAACATAAGTCGTCCATTTAATTTTCAAATTGAAGCATTAGTTTATCATATCAAAGTATTCAGCATGTGTTTCTCAAAAAAAAAAAAAAAGAGAATTCAGCATGTGATATAACAATCACATTGTAACAGATACCTATTGCCCAATAAAACATATGCACTGTTGTGCAACTATTAACCTTAAATCAATTTTTCTGTTCATTTAGTAAGAAATATTGCACAATGTTAAGCCTGTAGTTTGGTAACTTATAGAAAATTAAGCAGCAAAAATAGAACAAACCCACTAAAGTATCTAAGAGCTCAACAAGTAGTTCAACTAACTTCCAAATGTTGTCAGTGCCCTTTTTAGTTTTGTCATGCATTTGTAGAACATAATCTTGTTTCCTCCAGAACAGAACAAGCTACAGCAAGTATCGTGTTTACAAGTCTGTTAACAATTATAAATGCCATTTCCAGGAAATTCTGTTAACCTTAAATCAATTTTTCTGTTCATTTAGTAAGACATATTGCACAATGTTAAGCCTGTAGTTTGGTAACTATAGAAAACTAAGCAGCAAAAATAGAACAAACCCACTAAAGTATCTAAGAGCTCAACAAGTAGTTCAACTAACTTCCAAATGTTGTCAGTGCCCTTTTTAGTTTTGTCATGCATTTGTAGAACATAATCTTGTTTCCTCCAGAACAGAGCAAGCTACAGCAAGTATCATGTTTACAAGTCTGTTAACAATTATAAATGCCATTTCCAGGAAATTCTAATTATTTCGTAGAAATGCAGAAGAAGAAGAAGAAATATCTCATGCTACTTTAGCCAAATGACTGAACAAGTAATAATAGTGCCATGAAATGAAACTTCAGCCCATGTGCCATAAAACCCAATGTCATTAAATAAACTTTAACAGATTTAGTAGATATGTACAGAGAAAAAAGAAAGAATATTGATCTCTTATAAAATGGTATAATCTCTGCAAGATGTAATATCTTGATTTAGTACATATGTTAATCTAATTTAATAGTATTTAAAAGTCACCAAGAAAAGAAAGTAATTCCTGACAACATTTTCATACCATTAAATTCTTTTACCCAACAATCAACCCATCATTAAATCTTAGTAACAAGATCAGTATGGTGTATGAACATAAGAAAATTATTGACACATGACAACGATCCAGATAACAGGATACATCTATGTAACCAGTGTGGATCAATAAGAATCAATCATACACAAGAATCAGTTCCAAATTAATTATCATTTGCCAAGTTTTTCTTTTCCTCTGACAACAAAGCCACTAGGTTGACCATTAAAAGGTGATATCATAAAACAGAAGCAATCAGTCAAAGAACCAAATAGATATTTTAGTGCAGCTCCTTTCCCAACTAAATATTTGTGTGCAATTTAAAGTCATGTCAAGGACATATAAAAATATAGAGCACCATAGCATCCAAGAAGTAAATAAAAACTAATGAAAGGAATGACTCTCAGTAAGAAAACAAACTTTGAGAAACATATAACATTATGCAATGGTCGAATATTTAATGAATTAACTACATAACACCAACCAAACTGAAACTAGCATCTTTTAAAAAAAAAAAGTGAAACTGCACTTTAAAAGAAAAGGGACAAAGAACTAGGAAAAGACCATTTCAGATTTTATATATATATATATATATATATATATATATATTCCAGTCAGTCACACTATTATTTTAGTTAGGCCACATACCCTACACATCATGAGTTTTTCTGAATGATAGTTACTTAAAAGTTCCTGTTTAGAAGTACAAAAAATTATTGAAAAATATAGAATGAAGTAGGAAATGTGGTCTATAGAAGCAGTTCTTCGGCACAAGCTTCACAAGCAAGTTCAACTTGTTAATTGAAATTATTACCTGAAACAGAATAATAAGTAGAAGGTACATCCTGCAGATGAACAGAAGAAATGGTAGGTAAACTTTCTTGGTGAAGAAACCCACTGTTTGGATCCAAAGCTGAAGTTCCATCTCTAACATGGTAAGGTAGACAACCATCGGGAATACATGAAGATGGCCCAGAGCTGTTAGACAAAGTCTCATTGGGATAAGTTGGTGGTCTATGAGGAGAAGCTGCTGGAACAGGAAACTGTTGATAGCTAGAAGTCAGCAGTGACCGTTGAGCATCCATATAATGAGAATCAACAGCTTGTAAATATGGATCAGGAAAACAATTTTGTTCTTCTGCCCTGCCAGCTGGAGTAGTTTGTGATTGCACCAGCTGGTCCTGCATGGCAGCCCTAGTGTTTACCCATTCTCTAGCTTTGGCTCCCCAATCTTCCACATTGTTATGGGCTGGCACCAGAATATTATTGCAAGCCGAGCCCATCAACAACAACATACAATAAGACAAGCATAGGGTCAGATTAACTTTCACAACCAGGAGCACATGGCTTTTGTAGGTAGCAGTACAGAGAAGTTTACATCATACATATTTCAGTCAGCAACTTATACCGTGATGGATAATCATTAGCTAACCACTAGAAAGATAGCCATCTCACTCTAGGTTTTGGTTGGTATTAAATTATGAAGTTAAAATTTTTAGTTGAGGGATTATTATCCTATAAATCTGCGGTTGAGTTTAAAACAAGGGTCCAGTGTGGTGGGAGGTGCAATGGCCCCCATTCAAATGAAGCCTTAACAATTCAATCTAATCTATTTTCTTATTTACAATTACATATATATGAGATGGACATAAAAGCTTGAGGAGTCTTTAAAATTCACCGCGGCTGTATAAGTAGTTAATAAAATAAATATACTCTTGGCATGTATAGGATAAGAATCCTCCAGAAGAACCCGGATTAACATTTAAAAGGAGCAGCCCTAAAAATGCGAAAATAACGATCTAATTCTATTGAAACCAATGAAAAGCTAAATATCAAGAGGAATGAACCAGAAAATCAGATTTAATACCAACCTTGGTGATGAGACCAATTTGGATTGCCCCATTCCTAGAGAATGAAAACAGAATTACGACAAAAAAAAAAAAGAGAAAAAAAAAGTCATTTGATGAACCAAATAAGCAGCATTTTACTTAACAGGAGAAATAAAATTAGAAAAAAAAATGCATAAAAGGATTGGAAGTTACCTGATTAACGTGAGAGAAAGTATGGGGAATCTGCGCAGGAGGCATGAAGGGTCTAATAGGAGGAGGAGGAGGAGGTGGCGGAGGGAAGTGGTTACTTACATTATGGGGGTGCGGGGGATAAGGAAGAGGAGGTAGTGGAGGATAAGCAGAATGATTGGAGGGAGGAGGTGGACCACACTGGGAAGGAGGTTGCTGAGTGGGACGAGGAAGAGGGGGTGATGGAGTGGAATGAAATGGGTTGTGATGTTGCTGGTACTGGAATTGGTTGGAGTGCCATAAGCCCGGCGATGGTGGTGCAGCTACTCTTGCAGGTGGCAGTGGTGGTGGGTGGTGGTATTGAAGGTAGTGTTGGAGGTGGGGATCAGCCGGGGGTGGTGGTTGGGATGGTCTCAAGTAGCGGTGTGGTTGCTGTTGTTGACACGCGTCCATTTGTTTATAGTAGTGTAATTTTCTTGTTTTTGGGTCTTTGATTTCTGCTGGTGCTCATGGGAGAGTTTGTACAAGGAAGAAAAATCAGAACATGAGAAAAGAGGGTTTTTTCTTTTTCTTCTGTCTTTTAGAGGAGAGGACGTAGGGCCGGACAAATCGACCCTAATGTTGCTGATTATGACTCCCATGTATAGATGAATGAAATTCACATCAGCACCATTTGCGTGACCGAGTCCCCAAGTTTCTCTTTTTTTCTGTTTTTTAGGTATAGATTAACAGATTAGAAATTATAAATCCGAGCTTAAATATGCAGCCACTTTTTCTTTAGGCTTCCAAAAATTACGAAAATAGTGTAGATTTATGTATGGCCACAAATTTACATGGCTAATAACAGTATAATTGTATAAGCATGATGGTGTTGAGGGATCATCACTCCCTTTTTATTCTTGACTTGAGCACTGTAATCCTATGTGTAAACTCATGTCTTTATAGTACAGTTCTGTTTAATAAAAACTGAATGGCAAAGAATCTGCTGGCATACTGTTCAAAGCCCTAGCAAGTGCTGACTGTGGTAGCATAAAGAAAAGCACTTAGTGATGTATTTTTTTTTGCAACACACTGGCCGGCTGTGAAAAGTTGCTTTGACCACCTATACTGTATCTTTCGAGACAGATCCAAGGAAACTTGAATTGAGATAACTTATGATATGCCAATTCTTACATGGCTATCATACTAAAGCATCAGTCTGTTTTCTCGTCAATCGTGCATATAGACCGTCTTTATGAAGAAGCTCACTGTGACTGCCCATCTGCAAGTTTGAATGATAATTATGTCTTTGAGCAACAATTTTCAGTTTTCTAAACACTAAAGTTCCATGACTAATGACAGGCAAAAATTGTTAAAGTGTTTAAAAAAAAAGACAACCTCAATGATTTTACCACCATCCATCACCACTATTCTGTCAGCTGCTTGAATTGTAGAAAGCCTGTGGATAGAGCATGATAAGACTCCATACTCAATGTAGAGTCACCCAAAAAAATGAGGGTACCTGAAACCATACCTGTGTGCAATTACAATGACAGTTCTTTTTGTTGACGAATCACTTCTGACGGCACGAAGAACACCCTGGATCAGGTGGCATGTGAAACACTATGGGTGGAAGTAACGTCCCAAGTTCTATGCTCAACCTCCTAATAGGAAAAAAGAAAATAAGAATAAAGTACTGGTATTAATAACAATAGTTACCTTAACATTGTGTTCACTCTCTGCATCCAGTGCACTGGTTGCTTCATCAAGGATCAAAATTGTAGGGTCTCTAAGAATGGCTCGAGCAATGGCAATTCTCTGCTTTTGTCCCCCACTGAGCAGATCATCATCAACAAGTGTATTGTACCCATTGGGAAGCAATGTAATGAAGTCATGCGCATATGCCTGCTTTGCTGCCCTTTCAATTTCCTCTTGCTTTATGTTTCTCAAACATCCATACTTAATATTTGAACTAATGTCCATGCGGAAGAGTTTCGGTTCCTGTAGAGAGAATATATTAAGGAGGAAAGATCCATCAAATTTACTTAAGTTCAATGCTGGAACTAAATGGAGTACCTGTCCCACAAATCCTATTTTTCCCCTCAAACACTTGATGTCCAATTCTCTAAGAGGGATGCCATCAATGAAAATCTGAAAAAAAGAGGAACAAGTATAACATGGGATTCAAACTACAGGTATTGGAAATTTAAAAAAAAAAGAGATATAAACAGAAAATACAAAATTGCTGGCTATAGAACACTTGTTCAATGATTCTTAACCCATTAATGAGCAAAGTTTCTAGCAACATATGTCAAACACTGACTGCTTGAAGGTAATGGAATAGGATGAAGATCAAAACAATTCTACCTGACCATTTGTTGGCTCATAGAGACGGAGCAACAGATTCACCAGCGTGCTTTTTCCACTACCACTGAGACCAACCTAGTCAAGATTAAATAAATAGCAAATTATTTCTCAGAGTCAGTGTGGAAGTGATGAAAATTTGTAAGAGTCAAGAAACACTTACTATTGCAACCACTTCACCTGGACGAATTGATAAATTTATTCGCTGAAGGACAGGCACCTGTGGAAATAATCTGCTATTAATTGTTTCCAAGTAGCTAAGTAATAATGTTTAAAATGATAGAGGCATGCATGCACAAAACTTTACTTCAGGAATCAAACAAACAGGAAGTCTCAATTACTTTGAATGAGGCAACCGTCCATGAAATGTACAGCACCAACCTTACAGTAGAAACAAAAATAATGCAGCAGAGCCATAAATGCTCCAATAGAAAAAGGTGCTCTTTTCTATTTTCATGTAATTCCACTTTTATATGGTTCCTCAATTGGAATCTTAAGAAAGAAAATGGAGAGAAGGCCGTGTAAACCTTCCACAGAAAACAGTTTGAGAGACAAAAGCCCCAAGAAAAGTAGCATTCTTTGCTTCTGAAGCATCTCAAGGAAGAGCTTTAACCATAGATAACTTTCAAGGAGTGGGAAAATTCTTCCAAATCGACGCTTTCTATGCAAGAATACAGCTGAAACAGTCTCCTTTTGAATTGTTCTTATATGAGACAGACTGGTCCTTAGGTGATTGTGGTTGTGGGTTTCAGTTGGAAGAATGTGCACTTATGTAAGAGAAAAACTATATATAATTAATCCCTCTACTTTTTGCATTTTTTGGAGTGAAAGGAACAGAAAGGGGCATTTGAGGGAGAACTGTTTTCTCTTAAAGATAAAACCTCTACAAGAAAGTTGCAACCACCACTTGCAAGTGGCAATTATGGTTCTAGCACCATTTGTACTCCATTAAAATTATAGAAAATACCAACACTATCAAAACAGAGGTATTACTTGGAGTACTTATAATGCTAAGGAGGGCAAGCATACCGTTGCTCTTGAAGGATATTGAAAAGATACATTTACAAACTCTATATGGCCCAGCAGCTTTTGAAACATCATTCCTGTAACAGAGCAAATTCAAAGCAATAAAAGTTAAATGAAGGATGATATCTGCCATTGAAGAAATTTTCTGCAGAAAGAAGTAGTTATTTCTGCTAAATGGAACATTTAATTTATAATTAAAATGATATTTCTCACATCCCTCACTAAGGTTCTCTTCAAATTTGATAAACGGAGAGAACGATGTTGAACCATCTACATACATATATGCCACCCACTAATAAGCATTGCAATGTATCACAGAACAGGGAACAAAGGACATTTCAGAAAAAGAAGTTATGAAGAAAGGATCTATTAATAAAATTCTTACCTTTCGATATGAATTGGTCACTAGGCAGAAGATCCATCAACTGGAAGACCTTTTCACTTGCTCCAACAGATTGCATCAATGATGAAACATTATCCCCAACCCACCATGTTGAGTAGATTAACCATTCACTGTATAGTATAAACTTCGTAAGTTTCTCTGCTGTTATATGACCAGCAAGAATGTACATCCCTCCAACCAGCACAGCAATAACCTATAGAGCAAAAAGAAAATCCAACAATCAGAGAAGTAGCTTTTAACATTCTTATTATCATTCATTTCCATATTATACTTCCTTGTGAGAAAGGCCCTGGATTGTACACCTGAGTTGAGTGGTAAAGGGTGTTGAAGCTCAGATTCCAAACTCCATAAGCAGCACTTTGCCGCAAGCTTATATCTGCCAGTTTATCTAGCCAATGGTTGTACCTATTAATTATAAACAGATTAAACATTTTTTTACACATTATCAAAGAAAAACATTAAAAACCAGTAAGACATTTGGAAGAAAGACTCTATTAGCATAGATTACCTTTTCAGCTCTAGCCCTTCTGTTCCATAAACACGAACAGTTCTCATTAAAGAAAATGTTTCTTGAGCCACCTATGAAATAAATAGTGAGAAACCTTTCATCCAACTGTAAGCGATGAAAAACAAAACAGCCAATTATAGATAAAGTTTCTAATAACTACCTCGTTGGCAGAAGCAGTGAATTCTTGGACTAGTTTAGCTGCCTTTTTCTGGTACCTACACAAGAGGACAAAATAAATTTTCCTCAAAGAATAATTACAGTAGTCAAACCATCAATATACTCTGAAAATTAAAGATAAGAAAACTGTGTGTGCATCTTAGTAAGTACAAGTCAAAGCATAACTTTTTTCTGAAACTCCCAACCCATTTTCCATTAATCTGTCTTGTCCTTCAACCATCCAAAACCTATTACGTGAACTTTGCAATTAAAAGATTAACAGCCTGCAGATAGATCCTCTTTCCAACCATTATCTTTTCTTGCCCTAAGATGCATCATTCAAAATTGTGTATTTAATCGCACTTACCTTTTATCATATATATAGAGTAAACTAGCTTCAATTAAGAGTAGGAAAAAGTAAGGAAACTCCAAAAATCTTACAGGCCATAAACCATCATTACTGCTGCTAGAGTAAAGCATATCAACAATGTACATAAACCAAGTGGCCATGACAAAACCAGCAAGTAGATCAAGGCACCTGTTCCCTAAAAGAAGAATGAAATGCTAATAAGACTCCCAAAATTCCAGCAAACTCAGATGGATTGATTATTTGATCAGTGAGAAACCTGAAGAACATTTCTCATAATCAGATTCAGATCATTCCCAATCACACGTGACACTTGTTGACAATCTGAACCAAGCCTACTTGTCAAATCACCAACAGTTTCACCATCAAAAAAGGATATGTCCTGCATAAAATGTGATGCAAAAGTTTGTTACCTGACACATCACAGAAACTAAAAAACATATAATCAGCATGCCTACTTGGTACCAAAATATATAGGAAGTTGAGAATTTTAAGTTCAGAACCTGAAGAAGAAGAGCAGAATACAGTGTTTCCCTCATTCTCTTAACCTGCAGATGTTACTGGGTACCAGTCAGACCTGAAGTCATGCTCTACGGAGAAGACAATTTTATGATCATCAACAATTTCACACTCAAAAATGGAAAAGAAAATTTGAATAATGGTTCCTCCAAGCTCACAATAAACCCTAAAACACAGGGCCAAAAGTGGAAACCAGATAAGGCATCAGACATGAAGTAGTAAAATCATGATAAGAAAACTTACAAGGATCATATTTGCAATGCCAAAGCAGCATCCTCGCAGACCACTGAAATTCAAGCGCAGTGTAAAGCATCAGCAGCTGTCACTTTTTCCTTGAAGGAGGCTCAAATCCCACAAAAAGACTAAGAAAAGTTCCACATTCATAGAAAGCAGTTGGCCAGATAAATCACAAACTGGTTTTGATCATATGCAATGGTGAATCCTTTTAAGCATTAATACACGAAAAACAACAATTAAGGAAAGAAATTATAGTCCAATAGAATTATAGAAACATGATTTCAGATTTATTTCAGAGGCGACCGCAAGAATAGGTGAATGCCATGCTTAGGATTGCAACGTAACGTAGAAGGAAGATTTGACCATACTAGATTTTGACCTGCATATTCCTGCGGTAATACATATCATAATCAGAAGCCGTACATTCTGGTGGAACACTGCTATTTCACGACTTTGTGCCGAAAATATTGATGCCGTCAAGTAATGTGGTATAGAAATTTCCGAAAGCTGAACAATACAAACACCAGTCAGTTAACATGATTACAAAACAATAACTAAAATTTTCCTCTGCAACCACAGTTATTAATTTCATCAAACTACTTAAGAACTGAGAAATTAGCAGAAATTATTCAACTAGACGAAACAAGCAACAAAAACTTAAGTGAAAGAAAGAAGGACTTACAGCAGCCACAATCAGGGTGGAAAAAGCAGCGAAAATAACTAAACGATCTTTAGCAATCAGCTGCCACATTCGACTAAGCGTCCGCCAAACTGTCACCGGTTTTTCCATTAATTTAAGTTCTACGTCATCGGAGATGCTCCACCAACTTCCTCCAGGTAACACCGACCGAAGAAAATCAATCGATTTCCGGATTCTCTCAAGCAACTCGACATTCTCTACAGTGTGCTCTTCCTCAAAACTTTCTAGGTTCTTCTCTACCGACAATCCGTTGATCGAAGACGATTTTAAAGGAGCTGAGCGATAGCTTAACCTCTTAGAAGAAATCGAGACTTCAGTGCCCCTGGAAAATCGGAGATTCCGATGGTTAATGAAATGAAACTGTTGCTCATAATGAGACGAAGAACGAAAGCGAAGCTGCAACTTTCCGTTGCAGCAAAGAGGAAGAGCCATTGGACGGAGCCAATGGAGGGAGTTTTTTTTTTGGGATAAAGCAAAAAGTACAAAATTCTTTAGCTTCTGGCCCGTGTGCTCCAGAGAAGCGCCACCGTTTTAGTCCTTAAAACAAACGGGAAATCACATCGAGGGAAGCTTGTTTAATTGACACAAATTCTTGCGCGTGAACGCACGTGCGAGTGCACGCGTTTGAGGATCGTTTTTCTGTTTTGTTCTGAATGTTTTCTGTGATCTGTGAAGCGGATGGTTTCGTATTGTTGAACTCCACACCGTTAGATCAGCCCAAATAATACGACGGCGTTGCGTGCAGCGCACAATTGCTCTTCTTGGAGATTATTCCGATGACGTGCTTGAACCGATCAACGTATTCCACTTCCGTGAGATAAATTGTAGCTTGGAATGGACGATTTCGCTTATAAGTTTTATTATAATTCTATAATCATTCTATGATACCAAAATATGATCTACTATGTAAAATTAAATTTAATAATATTAAATATAATATATGACACGATATTAAAATTATTGAAAAAAAAACATAAATAAAAAAAATTAACAAAACAGTTTACAACTTAAAATATAAATCTTAATTTTAAATTATATTTTAATAATCGTGATATGTTTTTTAATCTCCAAATCCAACACATCCACGTAGCACCACGTTAACTTTCTTTGTGACGGTATTACCCTCATGGATCTCACGTATAACTTCAAGCATTCCTCATTTTTAAAGCGAAATCATGGGCAATTTAGTTATCAAGATAACAACCTTCTAAAAATATCTTCACGGCGGTTTTAACTAGAAACACCGTATCTCCATTCTTTCCTTTCTTCAGTTTTTCTCTCTTTCTCTGGGACGCCAGCCATGGCTGTGGTTCTTGGAAATTTAGCTTTGTTACTAGACGTGACATCAACGAGGACCGTTACAAAAGACCGAAAATCCCGTCCCTTGGCAATCGACGTCGTTTTTAACTTACCGAAGAGGGACCCTCATTTCGTCCACGCTTCTCCTTCCAACAAAAGCGAACTCGAGTATTGGGACGGGGAGAATTGGGCTCACCGAGTGGTGGCTCGTGGCAAAGCGAATTCGAAAGTAAAGGCGGTGGATTTCGACGCGTGGTCCAGCGACGACGATGGGAATGGGAATGGCAACGGATTTGAGGAGGAAGAGGAGTACGATTGGGAGAAGGAAATGAGGAAGAGGGTTAAGGAAATTGAGGAGATGAGGGAGTTGGAGAGGAAAGCGGAGGAGTTGCAGAGCAAGGCGGAAGCAGAGGAAAGTGAAGGCGAAGTTAGAGAAGAAACCGAGGAGGAAAAGAGGATGAGAGTGAGAAAAGAGCTCGAAAAGGTTTTGCCTTCTTTGCTCTTCCCTTGCTACACAAATTAACTAATTTTCAATTTCTTTGTCCTTCCAATCTTGTATTAGAAATTCAAATTTTAGTTTTGTAATAAGATATATTTTCATATGTGAGAACAGGTGGCTAAGGAACAGGCAGAGCGGAGAGCAACGGCACAATTGATGTTCGACTTGGGTCAAAAGGCATATGGAAGAGGCATGTACAAACGGGCCATTGAGTTTCTTGAAGGTGCTCTGACGATCATTCCCAGGCCAACGTTATTTGGCGGTGAGGTCTGTTGATACCGTATTAGATAAGAGACCGTGTTTTTGAGGAATTTTGATGGCTCTGTATTTAAATCAATGTTGGGCAAAGACTAATGAGGGATTTTTTTTTTCTCCCTATTGCTAATTTCAGATTCAAATATGGCTGGCTTTGGCTTATGAGGCGAATAACCGCCATGCGGACTGCATTGCTCTGTACCAGCAATTGGAGGAGAAGCATCCTAGTGTGAGCATTCGGCGGCAAGCTGCTAAGCTTCGCTACATCTTGCAAGCACCCAAACTCAAGATATCAGAGGAAGAGATGGTTACTATACCGCTGATTGGTTCCAGTTACGACAGGTATATTTGAAATAATGCAGCAATAGACATAATTGAAAGTTGAAACCTACTCTTATGTTGATTGACCGACATTACTGGTCAGTTGTTCTCTTTTTGATCTAAACTCAACTTGTTACTCTGTTGTTGTTTTTTATTATTATTATTATTATTTTTTTTTGTGGTAGATTTGTTACTCTGTTCTTTTGACGACTTAAGATAGCTGGTAATGTTATCTAATATCATGAATTTTAAGAAAGACTAGCGTTTTAACTTTGATCTCTTAGGCTAGGCTCCATTTGGTTGGAAAGAAAGAAAGGGGAAGAAAGGAAAAGCACCAATGGTTGAGATTCATAACGTGGGCTATTTTTTAGCTCAACCATTAGATTAAAAGATTTTCCTTCCTTTCCTTACTTATTCCCTCCTACCATTGGGAGTGTTAAACTCTTCCTTCTAATTAAGACGAAGTTATTTTTTATTTCCTGCCTTGACCAACTCTTCCAAATAGTAAATGCTGCATACAATCCCTGTTTCATTCCTAAAAGCTCGTCTCTAATGCAAGTCACATTCATGTTATCATTGCCAGATCTTTACATTGTTCTCACCATTTAGCTTCCTGTCTTTGGAAACTTGCATTGTCAATTTCTGCCATGACTTATGGTTGTGCGTGTCCGTACTTAATAGTTTACGAATGCTTAATGAGCATATCCAAAAGTTGGAAGCAAGAAACCATTTCATAGTTTTGTAGACAGCGTCGGGCTCTTAGAAAGAAAGTGTATAATTCATTAGTCCTTTCTTAATCTCCAAGCAAAAACTTATTTCCTTAAGCTCTTCCCATGCCTTATGACCAGCTAACTTCTTATTTTGGATCGCATTGCTACTAATTATGTGATTATGCCCTTCTTGATCACCTTGTCAATCCTTCTTTCTGTCCACTTGTTATGACCATCTTAGTTCTAGTTTCAGCTTTTGCCTGGTCTTGTATTATTTTCCATCTCTGAATATTTGCATATATTTGTTCACCATTTTCAACTTCGATAGGTAGTAATTTGGGGCTAATCTGGACAAATTTTTTACAAATATATGCATTATTTCAAAATTTTCAGTTATGCAACAGTATGGAGTGACAATTACAAGGCCGAGGATCTCAGAAACAATCAGTTTCCCTCTTCCAAAGGCTTTCTGGGTGATTTTCTGGTGTGGCGACCTCCTGTTGGACTCGAAAAGAACCGAGCTTTTTGGGTAGCTTTGACTTTATGGTTTGGCTTGGTGGGAGCTGCCCTTTTTCTACAACGATGAATCATACAGAAGACTCCTCATAATTGTGAGTGTTGAATCATGATATGTACATTTAATTATTTATTGTGCCTTGTTTACTAGCATACTTGGAATGTCTCTGATTGGATCACCAATCGGGTATATGCCTCTTTCTTTGTATACATAATCTCTTACCACGAAAACATAGGGAGCCATGGTTTACCTCGCGAACTTGGACGAAGGATTTGTGAAAGCAAGCAACTAACCTTTTTGCTCTTTTACAAGTGATAGATAGAGGTATAATCAAATCAAAATGAACGAACACATATATATTTATAGTTTATATGTTTATTTTTAGAGCAGATTGTGTTTAATAAGAAAATTATTCATTACATTCTAGTACGATTCGATTAAATGGTAAGATGTGTGCATTTAGGTTGTGTTCGACTCGATTAAGTAAATAAATTCGTTCATGAACATTAAACAAATATATTTATTAATATATATAAACTAATATATTCATAAATAATACTTCATAAACAATAAATAAATTATAACTAAATAAATTTAAACAAATATACAATTATAAAATTCAGATTACATGAATATAAATAAACTCTAATCAAACAAGTTTTAAATGAATTTTAAATGAACATGTTAAATATAAATGTTTATAAATATAAATGAATCGAATAAATTTTTATTTGTATTTGATTTTTTTAATAAATGAATATAAAAATATTATTAAAAACTATTAGTTAAATTTAATGAAAATGTTCACACGAACTGCACTCTAATGACAGAACTCAAAATTTTCATTTCTACCATTTGAATTGAAATTACCTATTTAGATTAAAATTGCATGTTAATCATTTTAAGGCTTTCATAAAAACTTACTTCATTTGTCTAATTCTCAAATACGTCTCCACCATTTGAATTGAAATTATCCATTTAGATTAAAATTGCAAGTTAATCACTTCAAGGCTTTCATAAAAGTTTACCTGCATTAGGTGGATTCTCAAAAACATGAAGCCCTAAACTAAGTTTGTAAATTCGTTCACATGTTCGCATTTGATAGAATTAGATTTAGAAAAGATCAACAATTTAAATATATTTAATCTAAACTTGAAATAGCTTAAGCTTAAATGAATTTGTATTTGAAATAATTTGAATTCGAAAACAATTGAAAAAGTTTAAATTCAAATAATTTAAATTTAAATAGATTTGATTTTAAAACTTAACAATTTGAATTTGAAATAATTACCTTAAATTTATAAAGATTTAAATCTGAAAGTATCTGCATTTGAAATTATTTCAACTTAAAATAATTCAATTCAAACTCATTGTAACCCACCAATAGATGTGCTACAAATTAGAGCCAAAACCCGTAAGTTGGAAACTGCTAGCAAAGAAAGAAATTGATCACTTACAAAGTTATTGAGTCGTGCGTATTTAAAAAAATCTCGCTTCTTAATTTCCCAGATTCACCATTTCCATGACTCTATAAGTTTATCATTTGCCACATTTACTAATGTAAGGTAGGATGCTACTCAATGCTCACTATAAGTTTTGTAAAGTTCAACATTTATGTTGTACAAAATTTGTAGTGTTTATTTCTTTAAATAATCTTGCTATCTTAGTTTTAAGGTACATTTAATCAAAAGAAAAATCTATATGCAAATTAAAATATTTATTCTAATAGTAACGTGAACTGTTGATAGAGTGCTGAAATGGCAATTTCAGTAATTAAAATTTAAATTTTGATAATTTTGATTAAAAAATTACAATATTTATTATTTTTTTAACCTTAATCTTGCTTACTTACATACAGGACCCAACCCAACAATGACCCAATTTTATATACTACTTCTTGAAGCCCATCAATCCTCGTATTAACACTAAAGCTGAAAGCCGTAAGGGCGAACCCTCCTTACGTTCAACTCATTCGTAAAATCGCAAAACCCTAGAGGGTAAACTTGGAAACTGAAAACCTCCCCACCATTTTCCTCCATCAAAATAAAATCTCCACAAACCCTACTCAAATTTTTAGTCTCTCAGCCGCCTCCAACCCTTCGCCTTCCACAGATCTACATCAAACCAAAAATGACAACTCGCTTCAAGAAGAACCGCAAGAAGCGCGGTCACGTGAGCGCTGGTCATGGCCGTATTGGCAAGCACCGCAAGCACCCGGGAGGTCGCGGAAACGCCGGAGGCATGCACCACCACAGGATCCTCTTCGACAAGTACCACCCTGGGTATTTTGGGAAAGTTGGTATGAGGTATTTCCACAAGCTCCGCAACAAGTTCTACTGTCCCATTGTCAACATCGACAAGCTCTGGTCTTTCGTCCCACAGGACGTGAAGGCAAAATCCAATAAGGATGCGGTGCCGATGATCGACGTGACCCAGTTCGGGTACTTTAAGGTCCTTGGAAAAGGTGTGTTGCCCGAGAACCAACCGATAGTGGTTAAGGCTAAGTTGGTGTCCAAGAATGCTGAGAAGAAGATTAAGGAAGCTGGTGGTGCTGTTGTGCTCACCGCCTAGGTTAGGGTTCTGTTTTTTTTTTCCTTTTTGGTTTTGGATCGTAATGACATTTCTGTTATATTGTTATCTTTCGTTGTTTGGAGTTAATTTTGCAATGATATTTTATATTAATATCCTTAATTTTGGTTACATGTGCTAAGATTTTAGTTATGTTGTTTATTTTGTTGTGTTTTACATTGTTGAATTTCGTCGATTTAGTCATATAATGTACATTGGTTGTTGCGATTTAAGTTAAAAAAACTAATGAGACCTGGATTGCGATGCAATAGGGGAGATTTTATGTGTGGGGTTTCATAAGGTTTACCTGCCCACTTTCAAATTTCTAGTGGTGCAAGAATTTTTTATGTATCTTTTCTTTTATACTTTGCAGAACCCAATCTTATGAGTAGGTGTTATGGATCAAAAGGAAGTCTTCTCTTTAGTCATCTGTTATTAAATTTAAATAGTATCAGGTGCATATGTCTAGTTGGAGTAAGGTTTATGCGATACTTTGTTGTCATTAGTGTCTTAGTAATCTGAGAATGGTATGTTACCTCTTGTGCTATTGCACATTTGTTGTGCTTTGTGTTCATACATATTCAAGAAGTTATGGTAAAGAGATTATTAGAGATGCAAAAGGTGGAAGGGTAGACAATCCGTTATAGAGCCATTGATGAGCACATGGTGACCATTTTTGGCGACCATGTAGTTGGTGTTTTGAACATGAAAGGTGTTCACGATCAAAGTTCTTTTGAAAATGATTTCTTTCATTGTATTCACTTTATTTTCTTGCAATATTGCCATCAATCCTTCAGTATGATAAATGCATAAAGTGAGGCATATGGATCATTTCTGGCTTGGTGAAGAGGGCATAACTTTTTTTTTGTTTTTCTTGCACCACAGGGATTTGATAGTGATTCAACCTGTTTTATGGGAATAGTTGTGCCCCATTTTGCATTCATATTGCAGATGTGTTTCTTTGTAATAAAACTAGCAGGGTATTTACCTGAACCATGTTCAACCCTAACACAACTCTGCAATTGCAAGGTTTAAACAAGACTTAGGTAGCCCTGCCCCTTACAGTAGTTTGCATTAAAGATGCTTGTAATGCTTTTATCAGGCTTGCATGCATTTTTTTGGAGAGATTGATAAATTAATCAACTTTTTATTGGTGAATAATAGATTAAATGAATTGTTGTATATGCTGCTTGCCTACAAATTCTTCGCCTCTCTCTTGCCATTTATGGAGTTTTTGTTCTATAATATAGTTATGCTAATGGTCTTGTGTAGGTTTTTTTTTTTTTTTTTAATGTTTTCTGATATGCAGTTAATGGCCTGATATGGATGGTCTTGTCTTCACATATTGAGGATGAGAAATTTGATGTTGGTTTATATTAGTTGTTAATTTTTAAGGCTAGTGAGTGTGTAGGAAGGGGATGCCAGGACTCCCTCCTTAAGACAGAGGGAGAGAGAGAGAGAGAGAGAGAGAGAGAGAGAGAGAGTCTCATCACAATGGGAACTAAAATTTGATAGTGAAATGAAAGTGTTCATTTTTCTATTATAGCTCTGCTCGGAAGAGAAATTTGAGAGTATTCCTTCGTAATGGGTACTAAAATTTGATGGTGAAATGTGAAGTGCAAGATGTACTCTTCATTGTTCCACAATTTTCACTGCGGATTGTTTTTATCCTCCCCATTTTGTAATCCTATCTTCAGCAATAGAAGCCTGCACCTCGCACCAAAATTCTCATGGATTAGTACTTTACCAGGAGTCGTTTTAAACTTGACACCAGTCTACGAGTATTTGAAAAAGCTTAACATTACATCTTTGTTCCAGTTGGTTCTATATATCATCCCAAAAAAGGACACAAGTTTGCACAACATTCCCTGAGATCATTCCACAATACATTCCCTGAAAGATTGACTATTACATTACCAAAAAGTGTTGAATTGGACTCAGAAATAGCAAAAGATAGACAAAGGGGAGAGAGTTTACCTTAACAACTACGTCGAATTTGAAACCCATTACGAGACTCAAAAAAAAAAAAAAAAATGCCGAAGAGTAACACTCGGACGGCCACCCCTGCCCCCGAATTAACCCAACCCAAATTTTAGTTTCTTTTCTCTATAATTACAAGCATGTTTCAACAAAATCCAATCGAAATTATTACCCGAGCCTGTCCCCTGATAAATAAGAATGTGACATACAGAAAATAGATTACGTCCATGCTGAAATTGAGCTTTGCTAATGACCATATTGTAACCTTTATGCATTATCGTGTTAAACAAAATGCGTGAAAAATGAATAGCCTGCTCATGCTAATATTTGTAGTTTTGGGTTCCATTCCTTTGCTTCTTAGATGAGTGTGATACGGGATCATGCGTTTTTATCCCAGTTCACATTTCTCTTTAGGATCCTTAGCATCGGTTGCGAGTTGATGTTCCTCCAAGCGCAACTGATCTGGAGCACAAGGACAATGACATTGCAACAAAGCCTTTCCAAAACGGGATAATTGCTAAGCTTTTAATTGATCTCCAGTGGGAATTCATTATGATTATACTCTGCAGTCTGCTGTGCAATATATTCATCAAAGATCAAATAATTGAGCCATTGACCTCACATAATTAGGGTCCTAAATAAGTACCAGTATTTGTAATTATACTAAAATATTTGGACTGCCTTTGCATTATAGGTAGATCTTGAAAGTAGGCCCGAAAGCCCAATTGAAATTTTGAAAGATTTGGACATAAATAATATTAAACTCGTTAAATAGATTTAGATAAATAAACGAAAATCGATTAAAAAATAGGATCGGCTTGGATTTCACGATTTAAAACCCAAGCTCGGCCTGATCCAACTTAAAAATTAAAAAATATTTTTATTATAATAGAACAAAACTCATTTGCTTTAATTTTTTTATAATGGACAAAGTCATTTATTTTATAACTTATAATACGATAAAACTCATTTTTTTTATACAAATAATGATTTAATTTTAAATTACAATCAATAAAATTAAATTAGACTCAAACCTAAATGACTCATAAATTTAATTATAATTAATTAAATTAGTTAAATTAATAATTTACAAAAAAAATTATTTTCTTTAATTTTAAAAATAAGTGCTTTGAGTAAGCTTAAATTTTATTATTATATGTAAAAATGAGTTCTGGCAAAAAATAAAACCTAAAATTTGGTCCGAATCAAGCCTAAACTTGCTTCAAATGCTCGAATATTATATTAGGTTCGACCATACCCATGAGCAAGTCTACTTGAAAGGTATTTATTGACATTTTCAAAAAATGAAAATTAACAAAATTAGTAGATAAATTTTTTTTGAACATTTTAAAATTTTCTACGGACATATCAGATATTAAAAATAAAAAATTTTGAAAAAAATTCATAGATACTTTTGAATCAATAAAATTAATAAATTTATCAATAATTTTTAATATATATTATAAATAAACATTCAAAAAAAATTTTAGACGTGTCACTACCTTGAATCATTATAATCTATTGTTCTGTTAAAGAATCATAATGTACTTTGGACCTCTCAATAATAGATCTCTTCCCTGACTATTTTGCTCTTCCAGAGGATTATCAATCCATTTTTCTAATGCTAATGGGATTATTTTATTTCAGTATTCTGTTGAATAAAATCTCTGATCAAATTTGCTTCTGTTGGGTTGCTTTGTCATGAAACATAAATTGTCAGTTTTGGAAAGATTATTTAATAATACAACAACAATAAAACTACGGTTTATATATCACATAACTATAAATTATGCTTTATATATCACATAACTCGAGATCGATTAATAATAATAATATTATTATTATTAAAAAAATAAAAAAACCCCTTGATGCCATGCTGATCAGTAGGATGAATGATACTACTCGCAGCAACCACATACCTGCACGCCCTAGTTCCTCCACACACCTGCCGCTTCCAAGTCGTTTCGCCTTCACTAATCTATTATATTTTATTGTTGAGAGCTAAATATAGGAGGGCTGATTGTGGCCCGATTACTAGTCTTGTCAAAATATGTGTCCATGGTTTGTTATTGTGTAATCACAGGTTAATCTAGAGATTCTATCTAGGATGGACACATGGAGAGTTTTTTGGGCAACATTTTGAAAGTAAGCCAGAGAGATCAGCAACGTCAGCAATTCAATGCAAATTTTCAGGATGAAGCTACTTTAGCGCTTTTTAATTTCACTAACTTTCTTTACCAATGGTTTATGTTAATTTTTTGAACTGTTCAAGCGGAATGATAACACTGTCGACGTCTACATTCTTGCTAAAAAAAATTCGAAATCAAAGATATGGGTTTATCAGTTTTAGGAATTTTAAGGATATTGAAGATTTACTTGTAATTTTGAACGGTATTTGAATTGACACTTATAAACTTAGATTTTTCAAAGCTGAAGGAATGTTCGGTGTTTTAAACCAAGTTCAACATGCGAAGACTACTAAGTTTAGAGAACTTAATAGTAGGCCTGAGGTCCCTCTCAACAACTGTAAATCTTTAACAGAGGTGGTCAAAGGTTTTTGACAAGAAAGTGTAGATGACTCTAGTAGCCATAAAAAAAAGCTTGTCGAAACCTAAAATAAAGAAAAATGATGATTCTTGCATAGTTGGTGGGGAAAAGGTTAATAAAAGCTTGGTTTCTGTTTCTTATGATGTCTCGTATAATCATATAAAAATCTCATTAGACAAAGGGTCTTTAGTTATCAAAATCAATCTAGATGAGATTCTAAAAACTTATCTCTTAGAGAATTCAAAATGGAGCATGCAAAACAGCAAGAAGGAACTGTCACGTGAGGATCATTCAACAAAGGTGGCAAACCATGATTAGGCCAAGGAGTCGGGGGATAAATCGTACAAGCTTGCCCTTCGCTTGACAATACGCAATCTTTGAGTGGTGCAAGATCTTTGGATATTTCTAATATTGGTCCAATGCAAGAAAATAATTGGAGCCTTAATCCTATGGTGAATATATAATAAAGATGGAATTATCAATTGTAAATCTATCAAAAGAAGCTATGATGATTGTAATGTGATTCCAAATTCTTATGAAGTCGCAAGAGAGCCTGACAACATTGGTTGTTGTCTAGAAATAGTTGAATATGGTATTGGTGAGGGGGTAATCAAGGGCAAGAAGTTATTAAAAGATCGGATGAGCTCAAACTCTATGAATTTAGGTAAGGAAGTTGAGATGGAGCAAGACGAGGAATTTGTCCAAAATGACGAGAGCGAATTAAAAAAAAGAAGATGAAGAGTATAGTGTTAATTGTGAAGATATTATAGACCATTTCGATTACTCGGATAAGATGAATCTAAAATGCAACAAAATCAAGAAAAAAAAAACAAAAAAACTACAAATGGAGTAGGAAAACGTTTCAAAGATTCTATTACTTATTATGATCTCTCTGTAATTCTTGAAAAAGATAATAGCATTTCGGATAATGATATTCGACGGTAAATTCTTTCCATAGAGAAGAGGCTACCGAATCTTAGAAGATTGGGACACGTCTTTGGTTTTCATTTAATGGTGACAAAGAAATTATTATTGACAATTTGATGAAATGGAACGGAAGGACCTAGATGATAATGCTAACAGTTAGTGTTCGATAGCTGTCACATGATGGTTTTGTATCTTATGATGGTGTGGTTGATGCTATCATTGACTGGTCGTTACTTGTCATCTATCTCCGAATTCATAAGTATATCTTTTTTTTACTTTCTATGATTAGCTTTTTATATTTTCCTTCAAAACTTAAGTGTGGTGGACTCTTTCATAGTTGGTTAGATTTTGGATTCTTGTTATGTATCTTGACGAGTCTTAACTATCTTTGAGAGCTGGTAGGGTATACTTCTTTGATTAACATTTAGGTGATTTTTTATATTCAAATGGGTTTATATTAGTACTTTGGGTTGTGTCTTTGTTAGTCTGAACTTACTTTGTAATCTTATGGTTGCTTTAATAAATTTAGGCTTAGAAACAAAAATGGAGTTGATGCACTGGAGTTAGGATAAATGGCTTTCTAAATTAGAAAATCTCCATTTTCCACGCATCAGAATTGTTTTGTAACAAGAATAAGATTCGTGCCTTGCTTTTTCTGATTGGCTATCACTGAGAATATGCGGTGAGTAGAGATTTTTTTTTTCTTTGTCCTTTTTTATCATTTATTTTCTTTTCAACTGGCTTTACACCAGAGTATTGTGGTGGAAGGTCGACGTTTTGGATTTTTGTTTCATCAGCTGGAGTCATTCGAGTGTGGACTGTACGAACCACTAAGGTTGTCCTAAATCCTAATTGTTGGGACCCCATTATCCCTTAAAGTGACTTGGTTTTAGAAATTATTCTTTCATTTTGGAAACTTGGTGAAGATATACAAGACTAGAGTTGCGATAATATTCATGGGTAGTGATGTTGGAACTCACTCCAAAGTATTACTTGGATCTTTAATTTTGTGCTTATTCATGAGAGTTAGAGATGTAAATGAATTGAATAAGCATGGATTTTAATATATTTATGGTTTATTCATTTAATTGATGAATATTAAAATATTATTTATAATAATTTATTAAATTTAATAAATAAATAAAAATTTATTAATAAATTATTCATCCAACATTTTAATTAATTTAGATGCTTAACTTGGGCAACCATTTAAAGCCTCTTAAAAAAACTATTCAGTGAAATGACATAATATTTATCTATCCACCTATCATCATAGATTCATAGACCACTACCTTTCATCGTATTCATATGTTATTATCTTTGTAATAAGGCGGGCCAGCTCCTCTCCTTATGAATAAGGATTCACAGGGAACCCGAACTTTTTTTTTTTTTTTGCACTAATAGATCTTTTAGTAAAGCCAATACAAACAATATAAGCTATTGTAGCAATCTCAAACACATGTTTTTCAATCGATCGTAATTGATAAACATATAGCAGTCATAATCATTTGTGGAATTGTCAATTCACTTGTCAGAACACTGCATTAATATATATATATTTGATATAAAATTTGATGTAAATATATTATTTAATTTTTTAAATTATAATAAAATGTGTTATATTTAATAATTTTAGATAAATAATTATAAATTATATATTTAAAATAATTTTAATAAATGATTATCATAAAACTTTAATCTAAAATTTTTTGATCGAAAAAGACGAAAATTACCTAATTGAATCAATAAATATATATATATATATTAAAAAAAAGAAGTTAATTCAATTGGGCGGCAGGTGATCTTATGGCATGTCGAATTCAGGCCAGCGTTAATATTCCATGATGATCAGTCAGCCAAAGGGTCCATTCAATTAAAAACCTACCTAAAACCTTTGACCCCAGGTTTTGTTTACTGGTCAAAATTGCCGGTGGTGGCTTGCTTCTGCTGCCACGCGCTCCCCCACATGATCCCCACATGATGTTTTTGCTAGGTAACCCACAAGGCTTGTCGGTCTTCCCCCATGGAACTTGACTGAAGGAAGCGATTGTTCTTTTCTACTTACCAAGTACACATTCCAATTATTTCATCTCACTCTCCCAATTCTTTTTATTTGCTCATGGCCCCCACAAAACCAAACAAATCACGTTGGTTGCCATTGGAAAACAACTAGTTATAAACTTCTAAGCTCCTATAATTGCAATCAATTTTAATCAAAGTCCCCCCCTGCCCTGACAACCTTGCAATTAAACCGCATCTAGCCAAGTGTTGTCATTTTCTTTAAGAGATCGAACGGCCGCATAGAAAGGTTTTGGATTTAAAGGCTTTTTAGTATTTATGGAGTATTAATTTGGAACTGATTCTATAAATCTCTGTTACATACAGGTTTTAATAAAATCCTGTAACAAAAGTGCCAAAGGTATTGAATTCGGGCAAGCTTTGTTGAATGTTCTTGTGGATATCACGTGATGTACATCGCCTGTAGAGATATGGATTCAAATTTCTCTCTCTTTAAGCTAGCACTGAGATTTCAGTAACAGCTAGCCAAGTTGCATCTGCAAAATGCAAAATTATCTATAGGACTAGATAAAGAATATTCCGTCATCATTTGCATTGTTCCTTTATTTTTTTCTCTTTTATTTTATTAAAATATAATACCAAATGCAAAGTATCAAATAAAGTGTTTAATACAGCAACTCATTTGATCAAATTTTATTTATTCTCATCAGTGTATGAAGCAAAAATTTACTTTAGATAAGGTTCCGTTTGAGAGGGTCCAGCCGGTGAATATGGAGCGTAAGTAAATATGCATAATTTAATGTGGTCTTTTAAATAATATCACAGTGATCTTCCAGCATGTTCTTGCATGATTTACCCCATTGCACCCTTGTCTCCTTGAATGATACAAGTGAAAAACAGACTCAAGAAAACAAGATTATTACTAAAAATTTAATCTATTGATAAAATATTAACATTTTAATTTTAATGATTAAAGTTTAAATTTTAATAATCTTAAATACTAAAAAAATTATTACTTAAAAAATTTAACACTCGATGACAAATTAGCCACTACATGAGCTGGATACATTGCTGAAAATACAATATAAGCTCTGCATGTGGTCTCCAATAACACCTCTAAGCAGGGCCAGAGACTTCAGTGAATAATGAATGCAATCCAAAATGATTTCAATAGAGAGAGAGAGAGAGAGAGAGAGAGAGAGGCAAAAGAGATTTGCAGCCTTTGTTAGACGTGTTGAAACATTATTGCTTCAATATCAGAGCTCTGATCCCGAGAAAGCTTTGTTTAAGTGTACAAAAAATGAACTTCAGATTAGTCTCCCTTGTTACCTTTTTTTAACCATGGCTAGCTTGGACTTGGATGCTGCACATTCTTCAGTTAGAAACAAATGGATTAACATTGTTTTTTCTTCTTTTTTTTTTTGTTAATAAACATTCCGTTTTCATTGTCTAAATTAAAAAACTAAATACATATAGTAATACAAGTGACATTGTCAATTATTGGGTGCAGAACTTGAGGAGTTGGAAGAGTTAAACATATATGGTCCTCTCAAAGACTGCATAGGATTCTAATCCAAGTCTTTCCACATGTGTTTCTCCCTTTTTGCTTATCACAAAAGCATTTTAAAAACCTTCCCACTATCATAAGAGTCTGAGGTACGTGGGGGGTCATGTTTGTGGGACAGTGAAAAACTAAGCTTAAAAGTTTAAAGAGAGGATGATGGCAGAGAACCCCAGAAAGGGCAGTGGGTCTTGGGCTAAGCGTTTTGTGGGGACTTATCTCAGTCGATCAGCTGGTGTGAAGGATCCGTGTAGCATCTTCCTCACCCAATCTTGAAAAGGATTTATCTTTACTTTGCGTTTGACAACTTTTAGTATAACATAGATGTTGACATGTATGTGTCACCCACGCATGAACATGAACATGAAACTAGGCCCTAGCCAGTATAGTTTCAAACAAAAAGAGAGCAGCAACAGCCACAACAGCAAGAGAAGAAGGATAAAAAACCATATCTATAAACTGGAAGAAAACCCAGATCCTCACCATCACTAAACTGAAATATGGATGCTTTAAAATTTCTCTATTCCAGTACTTCTGAGTGATATATATATATATATATATATATATATGCAACACAGAGAAGCTAGAAAGAAATACTACAAATACAGAAACTTGAAAGGAAACAGAAAATCTACCACCGCATTTTACTACATTAAGAAGGTAGTTAGGTGAAGCACAAAAACGAACTCATTCTCCTGTACATAAACTTCTACTGATCACTATCATACAATTAAAATACCCTAAAGCAGAAGAAAAAAAAGGAAAAGTCAGATCAGTACAAAAAAATGATAAGTAGATGACAAGAGGTGGGCATGCAAAAGCTTAAGCTTTCAAGCAATTTCCCCCAAGCTTGGTTGATGAATCAACATGGCTTTTAAAGACACTCTCCAAGTCCGGAGGAGTAAAGAATTCTCTAACACTTCCATAGTTAAATTTCAAAGAGGGTTTTCGCTTCCTTGGAGCAGGTGGACAAGTCAATATGGTTGGAATTTTAGCTTCTTCTCCCCTTGGTGTCGTCGAACGCGATTCGTCTCCTTGTTCATCATCACTTTCTTTATCTTTCTCCACCGGATTCGTGTATATAGGCTTCAATGGAGCTCGTAAAGAAACCCCAGCTAAAACCCATTTTTGGCCTTCGGATTCTAACCCCCCATCCACTTGAGGCTTCCCTGAAACCCCCATATCCTTGGATCAAAAACCCAACCCCAAAACTTACAACTATATATAATTATAGTTATAGCCAGGAAGGAACAATGGAATAACTGATTAAGGGAATAAAGAAGAAAGAATAAAGACGGGTTTTGTTCTTTTCTTTGCCCTTTTATGGAGGGGAATCAAAAGGAAAGCAGAAGGAAAGTGGTGGAGTAAGGGCTTTTGGTTAGCAAGAAAGAAAGAAAGATGAGCACGTGAGAAACAAAAACGTTTGCAGCTAAATGCAAAGGGCTTTAAATAAACAAAATAATAATAATAATGCCAGTAATCGAAAGCAAGAAGCAATTGGGAGGAGGCAACTTTAAATGTTGTGTTTATGTCAATCAATCAGGGAGAGAGAGATCAAAAGAGAACCCGAGGAAACTGACATAAGCAGGAAAAAACTACTTCTATAAGTTTCCCGTGAAAGTAGCTGACCTCAGGCAGCCTTCGGAGAAAAGAAATATGAATCAATAAAAAAGAAGGATTGGGGATTGACTTGGATTTTGGCGACAAATTTTGGTGGTGGCAGACATGGGGATCCCCAATAGTTTCCCAGCTTATGCTTTGACTATTCCTTTGCAAATCTTCAGTATCTGATTCCCAGTTTTTTCCTCCTTGTTTGTAATATTTTCCTTTCTTGTTAAATACAAAAAAAACTAATAGTAAAAGCCTAATTCATCAACCAGGCTTTTTCAGAAGGAGGCTTATTCTTTTTCTTTCTTTGATGATGTTAAAAATTTTGGTATATTTGATTATTCTTGAATTTATATTTGTTTATTTTATGTTTAATACATATAAAATATAAAATTCATCATATTATAATTAAATAAGTTCAATATAAAATATATTTTTTAAAATTTTAAAATTTATTTATAATTTTTATTAAAATTTTAAATTGTATCATTTTCATTTTTTTATATCATATAATCATATCTTATTTAATATTATCAAATATATTTGAAAGAGAGAAAATTCAAACAAAAATGCTTTGTGTATGTAAAGCCTAATTAAAATTTAGATTAAGCTTAAATAATTCTAATTTATTCTTATATTTTATATGTATTAAACATATAAAATATAAAAATAACTTGAGTGAAAATTAATTACAGCCCTCAAAATATAGCTTTGAATAAATAAAGAATAATAATTATTATTATTAATTACTACAAGTAATATTTATTTCACATTAAAAAAATGTAACTTTTGCAGAAACTCCAAACAGGAAATCTTTTGTCGGTAAAATGTCGAAAAAAATAAGCTAAAGATGAGGTGAATTGTTATAGAATATTAAAATTTTAATTTTAATAATAAAATTTGATTCTTAACAATCTCAATTATTAAAAAATCGTAAAAGTGACATAATTGAAGCCAAACTACCGTCACCTAAACAATATGCTTGGCGGTGATTTGTTTGGAGAACCCCGTCGGCAACTCTTGGGGGGAATGGCCGGAAAAGGGGGAAAGAAAGAAACAAAAATGTACAAATTTTAGCTGCTGAGATCACCGGTCACCGCCTTACGCCAGCCAGAGCTAGCCAAAACACGATAAAAATACAATCAATGGGTGGTGGCCACTTTAAAAACAAAACATTAATATGCCAATTGCTGAGTCGTCCACGATTCCATTTATTGTCAGGGCGTTTCGTTCATGAATTTTTAAATTTGTAGAAGAAAAATGATTTAAGGAAAAATTGATATTGAAGGATATCAAGTGATTTTGAGTTTTGTTGATTTAGAAAATATAAAATTTTTATGTATGATTAAAAAAATAAATTTTTTATTATATTATTTTAAATAACATGTAAAAAATATATTATATTTATAATATTAATATGCGATTAACATGTAACACGTAACATATAAATAATATATTATTTTTATTAAAATTAAATAATTTTTTAAAAAATATTTTTATATTTTTAATAAATATAATTTTATAATTTTAATTATTATTCTAACGTTGATTTGTAATAAGGGCGATGTGGAGTTGAAGGGGTGACAAAACTCCCTCCTCCAAAAAAAATTCTTATGTGTAATAATATTAAATAATTTATTTTAAATTTTATTGGTAATAATATTAAATAAAATATTTTATATTTAATTTTTTATATTTTCAACAAAAATTATATTTTTTATCTTAAAAAAATAATTTTTTAATGAAATTATGTTTTTATCCTAAAGACATCATTTTTTTTAACAAAAACTAAGCATTAATTGGTTTAAACCGACTAAATCAATTTAAAATCAATCATTAAATTAAATTAATTTAATTTTGTCGGTTTAGTCGATTTAGGGAACGGTTTAATCTGTCGATTTACAATTTTGAATCTTACAAACCGAATTAACCAAAAAAAACCGACTTTTAATAATTAAATATTTAATAAAATATCCATTTACCCTTACCTAAAACCCATTAATGAAACCTTAAAATCTAAAATCCCGACAATACCCTTTTGCTCTGTTTATCTTCCTCACATATCTGTGGACTCTTGCTATTGCTTAAGCTCTTTTGCTCTTTCATTATCTCTCCCTTCCTCGAGAGTCAAGCTCCAATGCACCTCAACCTTTGTCCTTATAATTTTCAAGGTTTGTACTTTCTTTTCACTAATCTACACTTAGCTCTCCTAATACTTCACTAATGCCAAAACTGTTAAGATTTTTTTTTTTTCTAGTTTTCTTTCTGATTGGTTCTTAGAAAATGCTTATCCTTTGTTTGATTATGCTTTTGTTTCTACTTAGCTACTACTCATTTTTTTAAGGTAAAGGTTAAAATTTTTTTCCTGGATGTGAAATTTTAAACATATCTTAGGAAAAATGATAAAACTTTGAATATATTCCTGAATGATAAACTGACCAACTAAAGTCGGTTCGATTTTTGCCGATTTTTAATCCTTTAATTGATTGATTATTTTTGTATAAATTAAGTCCGTTAATATAGTTTTTCAGTTTTTACAATTGAATTAATCAAATTAACCGTTTGCTCACATCTAATTACATCTTTGCTAAATTCTAAAATATAATTTTTTTCATATTTTTAAAAACAATCACATTATTTATCTTAAAATTTTGTTCTTGTTAAATTATGAAAAATAATTTTTTTTTATCTTTTTTAATGAAGATTGTATTTTTAATCATAATTTTTGTGATGATTTGAATATCATTGTATTAAAAACATGATATTTATTTAAAATACATTAAGAAAAAATTATTTTCATAATATTTTATAAAAAATTACTAAGTTTTTAAGGTAAATAATATTATTTATGTAATCTAAAAATATAATTAAGTAAAAATAAATTAAAAAAAAAATTTTAGGAGAGAAAACCAAACGCTCCTTATGGAAAAAAGCTCAATGACGCACATATTACAGCAGCATGTGTCATTCAGAAAGAGGGTCCTGGATTCCTGGTGCTCAAGAACGGTGTAGCAGATTGAAGGCAGAAGAACCCATAATTTAGAATCTTTTTTTTTTCTCTTTGTTAAGTACTGCCAGAGGCATCCGGGAAACAAAGAGATTGACAGCTGGTTCTGTAAGGGTACTTAAGGAATCTACCTCTTTGATCACTAATGTCTGATGCTACTGAACTGAGATTAAAACTCCAATTCCAGGTCCCAATTACCAAGGTAATATATGTTAAAACAACTGCCATTTCTTCCATTAAGATGCACGTTGTTCATATTGAAAAGTACAGCAGAGTTGTGGACCTCCTACTTCAATCCACAATAAGTACTTAGTACTGCAATTAGTTTGACGCAGGAAGGGAACAAATACTCAAGCGTGAGCTTGCATGGTCATGGCTTTCTGGCAAATCCTGTTTTTCATTTGAGCCGGCAAGAGGTCCTGAAACAGGCAGACAGGTTTAAGACCAATTGTACCCCGTATTAGCTAGAATTGCATTCAAATCTATCAAGATAATACTAGAGGCTCATTGAAGCCGAGTTCAAAGATTACTAATGTTTGAGGGATGTCATTAGAGAAAAAATGGAAATAAAGTGGCATGGCTAATCTTCAAAAGCATGAAGTTTGTATAGCTCAAGTAAAAAGGAGATCATACATAAAGTTTGCACATTTGTAGAGTGGCTTGCAATAGCCAATTAATATAATACAGTATCAAGGAATTTAAAGCATGCTTCACATTCTTGAGTGACTCCAATTATCTTCATATTGCTCCATGAACTCGTCATTGAATTTCTTGAAACTTGACATGATTTCAGGCATGTCTTCCTCAGCAGGCAAAATTGTTGTTCTCAAGTGGAAGACCCTGTTTAGAAAAAGCATACAATTAGACAGGCACTTAAGTTGTTAGAAACAGACAAAGGGACCTATGTTTTCAGACTATTTCCACTGAAATGTGTAACTTATTAGCAATACTAAACTATCAGCTCAGGTGCTACACCTAAACATAGTTGTTTTACAACAGAATTATCAAAACAAATAGCCAGACTGATCGATGCAAATTTTTAACATGAGCAACGGAAACAGATACAAAGAAACATTGTTTAAGAACAAAAATTCTTAAGAAGGGTAAACAACTGATAGGAAAAAAGGAAAGATGATTATTAAAATTCTTGAGTAATGAATAAAAGGAAAAGAAATATAAATGGAGAAGTACCCTTCTTTCTGTCCAAATCCGGAACCAGGGACGGTGGAGATGCCAGTTGCTTCCAACAACTTGAGACAATAGAAAACATCTGGAACTTTACCTGCCTTGTTGGCAGCTTCTATAGCTTTTGGTGGCAAGCGTATTTGAGGAAAAGAATACATGGCACCTGTATGTTACCAACAAGAAAGTACTGAGGAGGAACCACAAAAAAGAAAGATTTCAAATTACCTGTTGAGAACAACTATTTACCTTCAGTGAAATTACAAACCACATTTTTGCAGCTGTTAAATCCATCAGTCATCATCCTTGCTCTTCTTCTCAATGATTCAAGGATTCCCTTGCTGCATGTTTTAAACGGCATTGTTAAGTAAAGCTAAAGAAGAAAGTTTACTGTCATTTCATAGTGGAAATTAACATCCCAAAGTTCAATTTCAAATCACTTTATGGATTTATCCACGTACAATATTACTAATGACTGAAAAACTTTTTTTTCAGCAGTTTCTAACACCAAATTTAGATGGTTAAAAAGGCATCAACACTAGCCATCTATTCAACGTGACCATCAGAAACCTGAAAAAGCGCCCTCCATTTTTTTTTAACCAGAAAGAAAATTGCAAACTTTGTCTTAGCAGGCATACCTTTCCCTAACATATTGCTCATATGAAATGTCTCCAGGTTTGAGTGGGTTGACCATCAACCCCATCTGTAAAGAGAAGAAGCAGCTTACTTATCTTCCTGTTAACACAACTAGAGCAGAAACATTAAGGTCCAAAAATCACAGAAAATAGAATGACATCAACTCACAAATATCTGAGCAGGAACATTTGGACTGAGTGATATTGATGCAATCTTGTAGATCTCATCAACTGTCTGTAATATAAGATCATGAAAGCAGAACAGAACTGAGCATCAGTTCAAGAATCCATATTATGTTTGATTTCCAACCTACGTCAGGTCAGAACAATGATAAAAAGAAGAAAGTGTATGAATGTGAATATGTAACATGGTAAAGCAATTTAGTTGTAATCA